TAGTCAGACTTTCCCCAAGCCAGCCATAATTCAGCTTAGAGTACATTAAGATGTACATCCTTCAATTTAATTTAGACGCAGGTCTATCACCAGATATCCCTTGTATTCTATCAGGCCTATAGCCCCTTTCTTATTGTAATTGGACTCCGCCCTCAAAAGAGACTGTGGTGAAAGATTTAAAGGTTTTTTCAAAACTCCGAAATGGAACCTTGCATGTGCTTTAAGGTAAGACACGCGCGGGAATAAATTGTGGAGGATGAGCGAATCACTCCTGTCAATGACATTTCGATTAAGTGCCACGTCAAATCAATATGGCTGTCCTGTGGGACTCTTCATGTATCAAACTACTTTTCACCATTCTTGTTAATTGATCTGCGATGTCATGTCTCAGCAAACGATGGTAATTATGATCTGAAGTGTCTTCAAACTATCGAGGTTGGCACTGCCTGAGCCATGTGGCAAAGATAACTTTTTCGTCTCCATATTAAGTGGCTCTGATTAAATAAACAGATGCAAGATTATTTTGACTAAAGGTTTTTATCACCCTAGTGTCACGGTTGCATTTGAATTGCCCCAAGACAAAAAAATCGCCTCAAGCCATTTGAATATCATTGAATAATATTCTTAAAGGGCTGTCTGCCGTTCAGCTTAACCTAGCCGGTTAGTGTTCAGTTTACACCCAGTCAATGGCGTTGTTGTACTAGCTGTAGTGCATCCTTTTCATGAGTATGTGAGAGTCACGTGTTTACATGAAAATAGATTAGGAAGTGTGCTCTAGTCAGTTGAGGTTATTTTTCAACATAAAGACAGCCTTAACGTAATATTTGTCGTGATCTGCTGATGTAATGAGCTATATCGGAGCAAATGGCTCGAGGGTCAACTCTTTTCTGGGAAGCAGTACTACTTTGGCACGTTGATCGTCGTTTTTTCCATTTTGGGCGTTTGGAGTTAAGAAACGAAAAATTGGAGCTTATAACAACTTACATTTACATGATTTCCCAATTTGCATTCATTTTTGATTGCGTGCAGTTCACTGAAGTGAAGTTTTTGACTCTTATCGAGAGAAGGAAGCTAGGAAAACCACTTAATCTCATTAAATTCTTTTCTCTAATAGTTTCTTTGTTTGTGGATTGACAACTTTGTATAGCATAAGTGGTTGAGGAGAAAGAACGCACGAAACACGGGAGAACTTTACATCAAACATTTTTTAACGCCAGAGAAGAACATTTTTAGCCTAAGAGCGAAAAGAGAAAGGCGTAAAATGATGTTTGAAATAATATTTGGTATCTCACGGATCACAAGGTTTCAAGTGTGCACTTATATTAAAATTATTATTCATTAATGCCTCGAGAACCTTGCACGAAACCTTGAACTCGTGCTGCAGACACCCGCAAAATCCGCCAGACCCCCCCAAAAAATAGCTCAGTCCATAACGATACAGTAATGTGTTTATACCGATAAGACAGGGTTCCCTTGATTAACAGTAATGTATAGATTTGCAGCTTACCTGGGGCATGGAATTTTTCACAAAATAACTTGGCACTTACTTACTTTGTTGTAAATCTGTTCTCCGAAAACCCAGAAAGCGGAATTCCTGTTTTAACTCATTTATTTTTTCAACGACATGATTGATCACGGAGGATGTCGTCTTTTTTAACTTTCATTACATCTTTCAACAATTGAAAGAAATATGACCCCAGGTGGTAAAATAAAATCACGATTCTTGATTCAAAAATACTACAATTTTTTAAAAATAGAATCAAGCTTCGAATCGGAAACCCTGGCGACGATATATTTGATTCTGCAAAGTCAACAGTCTTCTAGTTTGATTCAGTGTCGACGGAGGTGACAAAAGGGTCTTCTGGTTTACTTTTATTTCTTTTGCTAAACAATATGAACCACTGCCCGGTCTATGCGTCCAAGGATTTCAAGTTCATCAGACTGTATGGAAAATAGCTAACAATGGGTGTGACTTTTGTTTGCTTTGGCCGCTGTTTAACTTAAAAGCGGCAGGGGATTATCAAATAATATTTTAGTAATTCCCTTAATTATTTACCTTAGTGTCCGTGAACCGAGTGGTGCGCCGAAAACTCTGCGTTTCGTAGATAATTGCCGTATTCAGTCGTGTATAAATTGAATTTGAAATTATATACTACATGCAATTTCAATTAATAACCGCGAAATTTTTCCGCTAAATCTGGCGATCTATTAGCAAAGTGTGATATCTTACGTCTTCCGTTCTGTTTTCTTTATTTTCCGGTTGTATCTTGAAACCGAGCAGAGAGCATAAACACTGTCGCTTCAACAACATTAACACTTAAAAAAAATACTTAAAATGAGAGATCAGTAATTGATCAAACTAAATCTTGCAACAGAACAAGTACACCTCTGTAGCACAGAGGATGAGGAGCCCAAGAACGAAAAGAAAAAAAAAGCATCGATTTGTTTGAATTAGTAACTTATCCCAGTTTCTTTTTACACATTTAATTTTTTTCTAATTGAATCTAGCAGATTACAGAAAAGTCACAACTATTCTCGTCTATAAAACTACAAAACGGACATTTTCTTCCTGTCGTTCTTTTAAAGTCAGTTAAGCAACTGATGGCCCGGTTTTCCAAGCATTTTAACAGACTTTTTAAGAAAACTAAACCTTCGATCGATATTCACAGAAGATAAACAATCAGCAGTCATATTCACTAGGACGGTTAATTTACTAATGAAACTCAACTAATAATCCAATGAGTGTAAAGTTTTCAGTACCGCACGCACGAGAAGTATCTCTGCATCAGTTTCCTCTCTTTAACTTTTGATATTTACGTTAAAATTTCTTTAACAACAGTACTAAAATCACTAACAGATTTTTCGTGTTAATGTTATTCTGACAGCTTGCTTTGAAAGTAAATAGAAAAAGCAAGTTCTCCGGCCGAGCATAACCCTTACAAAGGTACATCCAGCAATCAATTCTAGAATATGACAACACTCTTCTCTGGTAAAGAAAAGATAATCACTACTGACAAATTTTATCGATATGCATTGAAATTCTCGTAAGCCTCATGAAGGGAGGTATCTTCGAGTTGTTTTATCTCTACGCGCCAAAGACACGCTCATTCTGAAACGACTGAGACCGTTTATTTGCCCCGGGGCGGTGGGGGACTAAAGATTGTTAATTTTATATGCATGTTTTCAAACCAAATGAAAGTTAAGCCGGTGCTAGAATAGGTTAAAACTCTTCCTTCCTACCCCGATTGCCGACGGATTATTTCAGTAAACAGTTAATCGGTGCGATGGTCCCTTGAAAACCCACATGGTTAGAGAATTCTCTTTTATTGTCAACGAAAAGAAAAGGAGGTAGAAACAGTTGCGTTCACCTACCTCGAAATTTTTTAAGGTTTAACAAATAAAGAATGATAAAACTTATCGGAGAATATCATAATGACTACATGTAATCCGACTGAGACTAAAACGTGGGTACGGTCAGCCGCTGAATCTCAAGTATTAAGAAACTATACATGTCATTATTTCTTTCATTTTCATTTTTTACACACGTTCTTTTTATTTCTTTTTTTCAATCCAGAATATAGAGGACACTATGTCAAAACGATGAACTTTTTGTGAATGGATATGTTGCCATATGATCGGTTTTTTTCTTATTTTGATCGCTACAGATATAGCTCTATCCTACAAAATATTTGTACTAACAGCGAGTTTTATCGGCTTGTATACGAAAGTCATTATCCTTTCATTTCAAAATGTTTAGCATCAATCTGCTTTTATCAAGTTTTTCTTTCTAGTTCAGCAGCTCAATATATTCTTTCAATTTCTATGGCGGTAATTTAGGCGCTCTCTGAATTGTCTGTTCAAGTGTCTATTCATTGGGTCGCGGATGTCTATGACAGTCTCCATTTTCTTTTTCAAAGCCATCAACTTGTTGTTAACGAGATCCTACCTTGATAGCTTTAGGGTCCTCAAAAAAACCTTGGGCGATGGGCAGACGCACGTAAGGTACGGAGACTCTGAATAAACATCCAAAAATTTTACCATTCTGTTTTTCGAGTGAAGGTTATGGTAATTTATATATCAAAAACCTTTTCTGAAATTCAGTTAATTAATCCTTGTATCCCAATCTTTATTCTGTTTAAATCAATCATGTGAACAGTTTTTCCAGTGACAACTCTTGCGACGAAGGGCAAATTTCGTGTGTGGGTGAAATGTGATGCTCTCGTTGGTTTATTTTCATATTTCGTTTACAAAAACTGAGCAATGTTTTGAATTGACAACGCATGCATGGGCAAATCTCTTGTAAAAGAGGAAGGAAATAAATCCTGCATTGCGTGCAGATCGACGAGGAACTCCCGATATGGCTGTGAATTATTCACAGCTGTCTTGGGCCACAACGATTAACAGAGAAAAAGGGAACAAAAGCCAGTCATTATTGTTTACTCTGTGCTCCTCAGGTTTTTTCACTTTTCCCTCGCACTTTAAAAAAGCAAACACTTTGATAAATCCACTTCATTTTCGCACGAACTCGTTGCTTTTGCTTGTGTTCCTGGTACAAAAAGTCACGCGTCAAACTGATTAAATAAGAATCCTACAAATAAATATATTTTCGGAGTTTTCGCAGAAAAAAGGATCGTGAGACGCGAACTAGTATTTACTAATGGGATTTCTCCGGCCAAATCGACATTTAGAAAGCATTGAGACTTCGATGATGTATTCAGAATTGTCAACATGGCGCTAAAAGCTATACAAGCAGCACGAAACTAAAAATTAGAGTAAAGACGAGAAAAATCATCAGATCAAACAGTTCAAAGGATAAACGAGATCTTACAGGAAACACCTTTGTGTGTTTTTTAGTGCTTTCGTATATTTCACGTCTCAAAATTTCTTTTCGTGACTTCCTCCCTCATCCATCCTCGACACACACGATATTTACATCGTCTACCGTGCTTACCTGGGTACGAGCACGTGCATTATTACGTCATCACATGGTCGCTAGTCACACAACAGTTGCCTTTTATTGCCCAATATGGCGGACACGCGGCTCTATGAAATTCTCGGTGTTTCGCCGAGTGCGAGCGATGTGGAGATAAAAAAGGTAAACTAGGAAGATTTATGAAATCAAGAATAGTACTTGGGGGCTTCATAAACGATTTATCTGACGTTAACTTTGTCAAAATCGTCTAATTTGTTAGGCTTACAGGAAGCTCGCGAAAGAGTATCACCCCGACAAAAACCCTGACGCAGGCGATAGAGTAAGTTAGTTGTCTTTGAATTTGTTAATGTTTTGAACTCGTTATTTGCCTTCTTGTCCTTCTAACGTCAACTTCTTGTCTCTAGTTTAAGGAAATAAGCTTCGCTCACGAGGTACTTTCGAACCCTGAGAAACGCGAACTTTATGACAAATACGGAGAGAAGGGATTACGCGAAGGCGCTGGTATGGGTAAGTAATTTTGACACCGCTCGGTTCCTTATTTTAGCTGCATTTGGACTGATCTTTTCATGCTCAGAAACTGAAATTGCTCATTATTAAATCTCCACTTGAAACGTGACGTGATGTGTTTTACTTTGGCTGAAACGAACCTTGAATTGTCTCCGATTTGCATCAGCATGCTTCTCTTCTTATAATATCATGAACCTTTTTCCCTTTTCATTTCCTCAGGTGGGGGTATGGACGATCTTTTGTCGCATATTTTCGGTGGTTTTGGCGGTGGAATGTTCGGTAAGTCGATATTTTGATCGTGTTGGCGCCGTAACATTTACTGCTCTAAGCATGTTTAGAATGGACGAAAATGCCAAAAAACCAACTTTACCGGAAGTGGATTAAAGCTAAGAACTGAAGAAACTGACATTTCTTGTGGACATTTCATGACTCTAGTAGGTCGTAAATATAAAATTGGTAACAATTTGGAAACATTTTCCCGTATAAATTCGTGTTTATTGAAAGATGGTTCGGCCATGCCTTGCTAAAGCCACTCAATTGACAGTATGAAGTCGTCTTTTAGAGAGATATTGTTGTCGAGAGTTCGATATCAGCCCAAGTTTTGAAAGTCGGTGATGTATTAAGAACATTCCATCCAAATTTTCGGCTCCTTTGGGTTGCTACGTCATTGAATAATCCTTTTATCTTGTTTAGCTGGGGGAATTTCTGTAATGCTTAGTTATCGCGAAATTTCTACCCTTTAATGGGCTAAAAATCGGTATGATATAAGTATAGATGAGCTCACATTATGGATAGAATTTTGGCTTTAAATGAATTCGTTGTGCAACCACGGTTACTAAAAATAACCTTATTTTATGGAATCGTAATATAGCTGTAAGTGTCATTATTTATAATGTATACATTCAGAAAGTAGACTTTATTGTGTTGTCTATCTGTAGAAAATTGATGACCATGGCCTTTACAAATGTATTTTGTTTCTCTATGCTGAAAAATAACACGCTCTTCTTAATGTAACAAATATGTCTTGTCTCCAAGGTAACTGGTGCTATGAAGGTGTCATGATTTTGAGGTCTCCTAAACAAAGCCTAGTTTACATGATCTCTGTTAAATTTGATTAGATTTAGTCAAATATTAGTTGTAATAACTGTACTTCAGTTATGCTCTGTCATGTTGAGATAACAACACTCCTTTGAACTTTCTCACTGATCATATAGTCTTCCCATTATGTTTTAAGTAGATCTTTGTTGATCAGTTCTTCTGTGAAAGTTTAATCATGTATAGCGTTTCATTATTTTTAGCAACAGTTTTGTTCTAACCCTTTGACACTTTATATTTAATTCTGCAAAATCAGGGATCAAATTAAATTTATGTTGAAGAAGCCCAACTTTTAATCACTAATCTTTAGTTACAAACATTCAAAGCCAAAATGAGTTCTCTTATTCAAATATTGTTCTGCATCAAAAGTGCAATTTTAATGGAACATATTTGTTACACTTGCACATGTACTGTTAACCATGCAGCTGTGCGAGATTTCTAAAAGATTAAGCAATATCATGCCTGTCTGAACATCCAGGGAATTTTTAAATTGGTTTTGCTGGATGAAAGCTGTCTCTGAATTTAATTATTTTTTAATATTTAGCTGTGTCCACCATTTTATCTTCTGAAGAATTTCAGAATTATGTTGTAATTAAACCTTGAGGGGTCTAGATCTTAATACAATTGAGCTATATGAAACTGCCAAATTTGGAAGGCCAGGTTTTTCAAGTCCTCTTTTAATGTACCTGTGTATTTGCAATTTGTAAATGAATTGAGTTAGTGGGAGCTTTTTGATTCCTTTTGGATTTTAATAGGAATTTGTCATTTGTTGTCATTGTTCACCGGTATTCATTTACACCATGCCATGGCTGTGTAACCGCCCAATTTTTTGTATAGTAGGATTTGCCCATAAGTTATCTTTCCTCAATGGTTACTACTTTAATGAAAACCCTTTCAAATGGTCTATCAACCAATCATAAGGCTGAGAAGAATGTGAACAATATCAAGAAACCATTTTAAATGTATTATTTTACATCAGTTCATTTTAAACTTCTGAAGTATGATTATACAACAAGTATATATTTTCTTACTTATTACTCGTATTAGTGTTGTAAATATCTCTTTGAAGTTCTTTGATTTAACTTAGTATGGTGGGGGTATTGCATTTGATCATATCTAGTCACATTTTTGATCATATCTAGTCATATTTTTGATCATATCTGTCAATATTTTGCATTATGTATTAAGCAGCAGTTATGTGAAAAGCTATGGCAACAGCCCTGAAAGTAATTCTAAACAATGAGTGGCCACTAAGTCACTGATAGATGAATAGTGTAGAAAAGTTCAAGACTTTTGTCTTCAGGAATAAGAACAATCTTGTTCTTACTTTTGGGTTAGATTTTTTTACTTTTAAAAACAAGCATTTTATTATACCCTAAACCCTGTAGCATCCTATATATGATAGCCAGCTCTTTACATTGGCCTCTTTCATCTGTTCCCAAGGTGCATGGCTTAAGATTGTGACTGATACTGGAACCATTGCAAATAACATTTCCTTGCTAGCAACTAAAAGTTTTGGTCTGGTCGCCACCTTGGCAACTGAATTTTTGTCAGTTTGAAATTAAAAGTTATATAATTTAAGTTCGGAGGAGCCTCGTATTGTTGTTAAGGAAATTTGCTTAAATTCCTACTCCTTTTTCCTCACACTTTTGCACAAGTGATCACTGTTCCTCCTTTTTACATGGGTGCAGAATTTCAAGTAGGTCATAACAGTACAACTTGTATTTTAAATCTGGCCCCTTTGGTTGTTACAAGATGTCTGTCAAAAGAGAACTTTTAAAGTACTATAAATCATAACAGTAGTGAATTACTTTTGTTCAATTTGTTGTATTTTTAAGGTGGTGGAGGACTCAGACAAAGAAGAAGGCGAGGAGAAGATCTCTTCCATCCTCTAAAGTAAAGATAATTCTTTTCTGTTTTTCTCATTGGGTATTACCATATTGTTACTTATTTTTGCTGGACTTAATTATTGTAATTTTTTACAATTGTCAAAAAAATCACAGAATTAAAGACCTGTATAAAGAGCTTTGGCTCTTTATTGAACCCCCTACTTTCCCAGAGAACATGGATGCAAAATTGGATGTACAGTACAATCAGAGAAATTGCCAGCACAAATTGCATGTTTTATGTAGTAATCCCTACAGCACTGTATCTGAGTTATGTTGTGTACTGTATAATTTGAGCAATAATTTTTTAGTATGTGTTTCAATCAAATTTAGCTTTTTGTATTTGATTCTGTAGGGTTACATTAGAAGATCTTTACAATGGAAAGTCAACCAAATTACAACTCAGTAAGAATGTGATCTGTGCAGTATGTAAGGGGTAAGGTTACTCATTGTTTAACTTTGGTCATACACTATCAACAGTTCATCGGTAATTGTCATTTATTTGCAGTAACTGAAATGTTTTTAATTACCATCAACAACTATCAATTTCTGAAGAACAATGAAGTTTTTGACAAGCTTTTGAGATTTTCAGAATGCCACATTATATATCATTCAGCATGTGAAACATATTTAAGCAATGTGTTCATACTTCAAGTTTTTTCTTAATGTGAGATGACTACCCACAGGCTTACTTTTAAAAACACAAATGTCTGTGAGTCAATGGAAATGGCTCGAAACACACATTTTTTTTGATTACTGCCGCAATAATCCAATGTTTACAACCATGCATGTATTGCAGGGTTGGTGGAAAAGCTGGAGCTGTGCGGACATGTCAGGGGTGTAAAGGGAGGGGAATAAAAGTGACTATTCGCCAAATTGGTCCTGGAATGGTTCAGCAGATGCAGTCTACCTGTAATGAATGCAGTGGGGAAGGTAAGGGAATGGTGAGACTGAGGATATGCCTTAGGTACTTTGATTTGTTGTAAGAATGTGCAAAATGATGAAGAACCATGGGCTAAATTAAAAGTCTGACAGCCTTGTTTGACGAAATTTCCATGCTGCCTTCCTGCTGATTGCACACAGGTCACCCTCAATACCACACAAGACCATGGAAAAATTGGATGGTGGTAATTTATGATGACCTTGAATGAGTAGATGGAATGCTCATTCCCATATGGAGAGCCAGTTAATTGTGAATTGTTTGATCAATTTAAATTCATTCCTTAATCAAATGCACTTTGCTATTCAAGTTGATTGTGTGACTAGGATTTAGTAAGAGAAATGAAATGCATTCATGTAGATGTTATGTGATGTTTTGATTACTTCTGTACAAACTTTGTTCCTGTTGCTCTATTAATAACTTTTCAGGTGAAGTACTCAATCCCAAGGACAGGTGTAAAAAATGCCAGGGGAAAAAAGTTGTTAAAGAAAGCAAGATATTAGAGGTAAATTACTGAGTTATGGTTCACCACTTACTAGAAAAAAATAATTGGATGGGTGAGAGTTGTAAATGGTAAATCGAAAAACTGTGATCATTGGTTGGAGATGCTATTCTAATTACAGAATGAAATGTAAAGGGAATGGTGATATTCATTTGTATGAGCATGGAACAAAGAAAAAACTGACACCCTCCAAAGTATTCAAGAATTACATGTGAGACTCTCTATTTTGCTGCTAGGTGCGCTACCTTTGAGTTTTAGAGAAGTCTTTGGATTGCAAAATTGTATACTTGTTTCATATGTGACATGCTAGTGAAAAATGAATGATATTTTTAATTATCTACAACTGGAGTATACAAAAAAACCTGAAAATTATCTTGTTAATTATCTTTGTACTTAGAATGGACCATTGTTAAAGTGAGCCTTGTATCTCAAAAGTTTTCTTGGTTTCTTGCAGGTTCATGTAGACAGGGGTATGAATGACAGTCAAAAAATAACATTTAGAGGAGAGGGAGACCAGGAGGTGAGCGTTAAGGGTATGATGATTGCTGAATTGATGTTTACCAATCAAGCAAATCTAATCCTTTTATCATCTGTTTTTTTTTAATGTACAAAGGTTCAAGAGAACGTTAAAATAAACATGATGGTAGTCTAAACTAACACATATTAGCCGTATTAACACATTATTAGCCGTCCAAATTTAAGCCAGTACTAAGAACTTGGCAAACAAAAAAATGAAGCACTTATCACATAACCTCGAGAGGTGTACTCAAATGGTATCTATTCTGGCTATGCGTCAGTGCAAACTGATGTCTCAAATCATGTGTGACAATGTGTTCAATTCAGGAGGGATTTCTTGATGCATCAGAATCAAAAACACTTGATTACACTTTAGTGGTGTGTACTACATTTTCCTTTGTCTGCTCCAGCTGTTGTTTTTGAAGCTTATCAAATTGAATCAAAAGCTGAAGCTAAGAAAAAAGAAGTACATTGTATTTTTACTAAATGTTCCATTTGTGGCAGTCACCAAACAAGTCAGATCTGTACATTTGTTATTTAGATCAGAGCTACTTATTCTTATTATGGCTTTGATATGTCTGTGGTATCTTGCATGCATCATTGAAAGAAAATGTGAATGGGATTTTTTGTCCACCTTTTAGTGTTGGACAGGATTTGTACTTATTTAAAGGTTTTTTCCTTCACACAGCCTGGTGTTGAACCCGGTGATGTTATTCTGGTACTACAACAGAAAGATCATGAATTGTTTACACGTCAGGGTGATGATTTGTTTATGACCAAGAAAATTCATCTGGCAGAAGCTCTGTGTGGCTTCCATATGGTGATCAAACACTTGGATAAAAGAAATTTAGTTGTAAAATACCCTGCTGGACAGGTTATTGAACCAGGTTAGATTTAAAACTGTATGTCTGTCCATTTGTGCTGCTGTCTTTCCATTCATCAACTGTCATTGTTGAGTTTTAATGGTGGCTGTATTGAATACTTTTCCTTTTAGACAAAGAGAATTTATTTACATCAATGTATTTTTCTGTATTGTTGATTCATCATAAAGTATTTTTCAGTAATAAAACAGCTATTTTTGTTGTATTTTTCCATGGCTTAGGTTGCATAAGAGGTGTGGTTGGAGAGGGTATGCCAGCGTACAGAAGACCCTATGACAGGGGAAATCTCTATGTTAAATTTGAAATTGAATTTCCTCCAAACAATTTCATCCCGGGTGACAAAATATCTGTGAGTACCTATTTTTTGTGTGTTCACCAATTTTCTAAGATTTTCCACTATTCAAGATCTTCTCTTATTTGGTATCAGCATCCTTCATGTTGGAAGAGTCATGATGTAGAAATTCTACCATGAGTGGTATTGCAAGGTTTTCAGTAGAATACATTGGCTGTTATCTCATAGAAAAGTCCTCCAACATATTTCCGTTGGCTCCCATTTGTCACTCTAAACTCATATTTATGTTTAGGTTAATATTGCTCTCAAAGAGAAAAAGCAAAAAATTCACCCAAGGAAATGTCTGTACTTGTTATGATGTGATTTTTATCAAACAGCAACGGTTATTTATCATGCAAGAAGCTATTTAAGTTCTTCAGCATTAACAAATTGTTGAAATAATTTGTTTTGAGTTCATACATTCAACTGTTAGGGGCAAGTGATGGTAATAATTTTGAGCGTGTTATTCTTTCTTTTTCCTCTCCCAATATCAATTTCAGATTAACTTTTGAAATCAAAGTCACTTGCCTAGTTACATGTCGTCACCTTTATTCTGGGAGAAATGTTTGTTTTATCCACTTTTTATTTACCTTTCACAAGCAAACTATACAGGAGGATTGCACATAAAACACTTTTCAATTGTATTTTGGTTAATTATGCAGAAAACATCATATTAAGTTATTCTTGCTTTTCCTCATACCAGTTACTAGAATCATTACTTCCTAGTCGGCCTAAACAACCATCACCAGCTGAGGATGCGGAAGAAGTGGACCTCATGGAACTTGATCCAAGATACAGTCAAAAAAGGAGAGAAGCATATGAGGATGGCAGTGATGATGAAGCAGGCCATGGACCTCGTGTGCAGTGTGCACATCAGTAATTAGAACTCTTTAAGGAACCACTTTGCCTGGCAGCATTTTAAGCCTGTTCCTGTGAGCTATTTGGGCATTTTAGAGTTAAAATAATTTCAATTCCTTTTTGACACAAATTTTCTGAAACTTGTCATATTTGACATCATGTTGTGAAGTAGTTCACTTGTTCAACCAAGACCCTGGCTTCTAGTGTAGTTTTGTTTTGTTATGAGCTAAATGTAAAGTAAGTATCCCATCAACTACAGGCCATGTGTTTGATGGAAGCATTTTGTGCTATTTACTACAACAGTGCCTCCAGACATTTTTTTGATCACCAATGATGGTTTAAAATTGTTCATAGCCAGTATTACATTTCAAGAGGTCTTTATGAACCCCAGAACATTTATTAAATTATATACATGTATCATAAGTCATTTTAAGCAGAGGTAACTATAAAGTGTGATTCTTCCTCTGTTTCACACCATTCTTCCTTTTTAACTAACCTATTCTACAACAGTGCATCCAGTGTACATAAAATGATTGTCTATTGCAGCAAATTTATTGTATGAATTTTGAATCGGCAATTACTCACAAACTATTCACATCAGAAAAGGTTTCTAGTATTAGCATCAGAAGGAGGCAGAGGACACAAATCTTTCCTTTGTACTCTTTAGAACTTGTGGTATAATCATAAATATGAATATTTGTGCTGATTACATGCTGATTTGAAATAACCTCAATTCATTAATTGTTGTCAGTTTGCACATAAATTGAAGGGAGAATGGTGTGATAAAAAGGCACCAAACCTCTTTTGTTGTGAATTTTTTATTGGGTATTAAGAGTTTTCTTTTGAGATATTGAATGGTGGCATGTAGAGATGGCTTTATTAATTTTCAATGGCCAAAAAATATAAAGAGCAATAGTGTTCTTTCCGTCTTCAGGCTATCAATCTTGTAATTTCTGTTTACCATATTGATGTGAGTTGTTTTGTCAAACAACAGCTTTGCATGTAATGTAAGGTCTTTGATGTGGTCACTAGTGAGGATTCGGAGAATGCCTCTGTGCCATTGGATGTATTGTGTTGTGTGGAATTTATTTTTGCTTTGTTTCCATTGTGTACACTTTTATTGAATAAGTGTCTCCATAATGTAGCCACAAAAATCAAATGAAGTAGGTTTTAGAATTTGTGTTTCCAAGTTTGTGTAAGATGGAGCTTCAACCCTACAATTATTCTCACTGGATGGTAAATAAAATTTCATGTTTGAGCAAGAGATCCTTTGAATGGAATGTGTCTTGTTGAGTGATACACAGAATTCCTTTGTGCAAAATTATTCAGAGGATCATGAGAGAATTCAAAACGCAGAAATGACATTTATAGTTCTGCTCCTCTTTATAAATTATCGGTTGTTGTCTGATACAGCTGAAATGTCTCTATTGTGGATGCATTTGTAGGTGGGGGACTGGGTTAGGGTCTGTTGGGTTCTCTGACGTAATTAATTGACATACCTTACCCTATATGAGATCAGCATCAAATTTTTCAGGAAAATGGTAACAACAGGTAAGGAAGGAAACTATTTGAAATGATGAAGTCGTTTAAGTTGGATTTTGCTTAAAACAAACATTTCTAAAATACTCTCACTTTAATGCCCTATACTAATTTCTGGAAAACTCTTTTGGGTGTGATGCTGGTTCGTAGATGGCGACTAATAGACTAAAAAGTTTGTTTAGAAGATCTCCTTACCTAAGACTTTTTTGTCATGTGGACTTGGAAAATTTTGACAATCAAAGCCTCTATTTGACCTTCGTTTCCTCTCTCCTCTCCGTCATAAGTGAGTCTTTTGAATCTTGAGAACGAGGTTAAACATGGCGGCGGTGGCGGCTCTTAGGGGTTTAAAAGATGTGGCACTTCGTACTATAGACAACTTGGCGTCTGAACTTTATGAGCTGAACCAGAAGATTTGGAAAAAGCCAGAACTTGGTTACCAAGAAAAGTATGCGCATGAAGTGTTAACTAAATTCTTAAGTGATAAGGGATTCGAGGTAACACCCCATCATACTCTGGATACGGCATTCCGAGCAGCCAGTGGTCGATGTACCAGACGAGTTGTAGGGTTTATTTGTGAGTACGATGCTTTACCTGGTATAGGGCATGCTTGTGGTCATAACCTGATCGCCGAGGTTGGGGTAGGTGCCGCACTGGGTAAGTTAAAACCACCGACCTTACATTATGTAACACAATTGTGGGCTGTGCTTCGGAAATGAAGACTTACCTCGAGCCCTTCGACGTTGTTTTCGAAATTGCTCTGGACCTTAGAGTTGTCATTGTTGTTGTTGTTTTTTTTCAATGGTTCTAGATATATCTTATCCCCTCAATTTGATTTTAAAGCTTTTAGGCTTCACTGTATCCATCTAAACTAGAGTTTGCATAGTTCCTCTTTCCTCACATAATCCATTGCACAACAGTACATATAAGTGAGGGTTATTATATTTATTAATAGTATAGATGAAAATTTAATGCGCGTCTGATTTGTTGAAAGCGAGTACATTTTTTATGTAACACAAATGCAAAGTTATAACAAAATGTAAATTACTACTAGCACATGCGATGCTAAAATTTTGTCCATCTTGACTTTCTATGATGTGCTTTTCATGTAAATTATTAACAAGTAACAGCATGATTTCTTGTACAATTTGGTGTAACTAAGCACTGGTAAATTTTTCAAAGGCTACAAGTTGCACTTGCCCTACAGGCTTGTGCAATTTTGTTGTCCTTGAAAAATTTACTTCTGCTTAATGATAACACCGAATTTCACTTGAAATCATATTGTTACTGAAGAAATGTAAAATGATTTCTGTGTTTACATAGCCTGATGTAAACATGCGGGAGGTTGGGAGAACACAAGATAAGTGTAGGAAACCACGACGTGAAGCGGAGTGGTTTCCAGCTTATCAAGTGTTCTCCCAACCTCCCAAGTGTTTACATCAGGCTATGTAAACACGGAAACCATTTTACATTTCTTTTATAAAATAACTCATGAAAGAGGAACGAAAACCATGTTTACATACGCTCATGTAAAATGGTTTTATGGCCAATCAGAGCACGCGTACTATTTGAATTATTTTATAATTATACTTATAAGGTTTCAGTAAAATATGAGTTCAGTCTTAAATCTTGTTCACAGCACTGTTGTTTTCTTTTCTCAACCCCCCAATTATTTTTATGTGAGCAGAGACAAATATCCTGAAAGAGAAAATGAAATGGACGGTCCAAGTTTTGAAGGTTTTCACACTCAGTTAGATTGTAAGCTTATGTACTAATAAAAATCAAACACAGCTATCTTTTGTGTAGTATATATAGTTTCATGTTCAGAAACAAAACAGAGCAAGACAAGAGTGATGTAAAATATAACCAAACTGGCATACTGTAACTGTTAAAATTCATGCAAATCATGAAGGTGTCAGAGCGACTGCAATCATGCTGAGGTCCACTGCAGCACAAGCAAGGCTTCTCTATTTGTTAATTTTTTTTCACTAAGTGTACACACAGTGTATTGCAGCTTGCAAGTAATAACATTTCTGTTCAACTTCAGGTGTGAAGGCAGCACTTGATGCAATTAAGCAAGACCTGGGGAAAGTTGTAGTTCTTGGAACTCCAGCAGAAGAAGGTGGTGGAGGCAAAATTAAAATGATTGAAAATGGTTGCTTTGAGGAAGTAGATTTTTGTTTGATGGCTCATCCTAAATCTTTTAGCTGTATTTATCCAACATGCTTGGCAATGCAAGCTGTTCAGGTCACATATCATGGAGTATCCTCCCATGCAAGCGCTTTCCCTTGGGAGGGTGTTAATGCATTGGATGCTGCTGTCATGGCTTATAATGCTGTCAGTGTTTTGCGGCAGCAGCTCAAACCAACATGGCGTCTACATGGTGTCATCACAGATGGAGGAAATAAGCCAAACATTATTCCTGAAAAGGCTTCATTGGCATATTATGTGAGAACTCCAACTGAGGAAGAATTATTGGTTCTTCGTAGCAAAGCACATAGATGTTTCGAGTCTGCTGCTCAGGCCACTGGTGTGTGAATGATGCATAGTCCTTACTATCTACTATCTCAGATTAGTCCACACAAAGAAAACCTAGTCTCCTTGCCCTAAGCAGTTGTACCAAATGCAGACCAAGCCAGGCAAATCACATATCTATTTTTACAGCAGTAAACTAATTTGATAATGTGGTTTGGTTAATATTTATTTTATTGAAAGGGTTGAATTGTCTTTAAACTTGTCTCAGTTTGTGCAAACATCTGAAATGAAGAACTCAGATACTTGGTTAAAGCAAAGGGTAAATTTAGGCTCAGTGCCCCACAGCCTAGAAGCCTATCCTCTTTTCAATATTAAGGAAGGGGTATTACTATTTGCCATTCCCTCTCTCCCCCATTTGAGTAAATGTATGTGAGTATGTTTGTCCATCAGAGGTTTCTCCCCTTCCCTCTTCCCCCCCCCCCCACCCCCACTTAGTTTTTCATCAAGTTTTCTGATAGTATATCAGTACTCATTTTCTTAAACCTGGTTGGAGAGAGGCACCATGCAAGTAAAATATTTAGTGCAAAGTACAATGACCTTACCTGGGCTTTAACTTGGACCTCTTGACCAAGTGTGTCTGCTATTACGCAGTGGTGTCTCTCACTCAGAGATGTAAACAGTAATTAAATTATGTTTAAATGGACATATTTATTTCAGTTACTTAGTCTTAGTGTACTTTTATTGTTTCAATCAAATTTCTAAAAATTTTTGTCCAGAGTTTAATTTTTGCAACACTTTTTGTTATGTTCACATAACTGTAGGTTGCACTGTGGACATTCATTGGGATTCTATGTTCTATTCCAACTTGGCAACCAATAAACAGCTTGCAGAGCTCTATGGAGCAAATGCGCAGGACTTTGGCTTAACATTTCCACCACATGAAGAACAAGTAAAGGCATCATTTGGTTCCACAGACATGGGAAATGTGTCACATGTTAAACCTTCCATTCACCCATACTTTGACATTGAAACATCTGCTGCAAATCACACTCATGAGTTTACTGCAGCATCAGGGAGGACAGAAGCTCATGATAGGGCAGTTATTCAAGCTAAAGTCATGGCCATGACAGCATTAGATGTGCTGTGTGATGATCAGGCCTGGGAAGAAATTGTGGCTGACTTTGAGAAAGTTCATGGAAGGATGAAACCTAGGCTGACATGAGCTGTAATGTCTAAACACACAAGAATAATTAATCTTAAATGTATTAGCTCAGGAAGTGATTGATAGATAAAAACCTCTTCTATCTCAGGTCAGCCCAATTGTAATGCTGCTGTTATGAGGGAGGGAAGAGGTAAAAAAATGAATTTCAATAGGAATTGAGAAAAATGCGTTTAATATGCAAAAAACGATCAAAACTTTATGATATCATGAAATTTGAACAAAATGAAATATATACTGTGGATCTAGGAACAGAATACAGTGCAGGGAAATAGAGATAAATTATTGTGAAAAGGTTGAATCATTACAATCATCATGGGCATTACCAATCTGAGGAATTGCACAACAGCTTTGATAAAGGAAATTGTTAACAATTTTGTCATAAACTTGGCTTACATTTTGCCTTTATGCATCTTTAGGCAAGTGGGAAATGAAGTTTGTTCTGTAGGCCAAGTAGGAAATCTGACAGATTTTTCTGTTATTTATTGTTAGTTTTTTTTAGACCAGACAGTGCACATCGCAGTATTGAAACTATTTAAAAATAATTAACCAATAGAAACTTCCCATGAAATTATTCAGTCACAGCAAGTAATTAAAAAAAACAAACAAACAAAAGGTCATCCATCACAAGGGAGCTCCAGAGATGTTTTATGTTTGATTAATGCCCTTTTTCTTTACTAGTCACCTACACTCACTGTGATGACACTAAAGGTGAGACATGCTAGGCAAATATGAATTGGTTAGGAAGCACTAAACATGTATACACTGATGATGCAATGAATAGTTGCACGTTGGTGTAAAATACTGCAAAATAAATAACATTGGGCTTTAATGTGGAAAATTTCCTGTGCCAGTTGAACAATGGCCTAAAATGTAAAGTTTTAGTGAAAATAGTGACAAAGTTAGCAATTGAAACGGAAATTCTGTTTCTTTCCCGTCATTATTATTATTATTGTTATTATTATTATTATTATTTATCTATAAATCTAGTTAAATTCTTTGAATTAATGAGAAAATATCAATCATTCTTTTGTAATGTATTTAGTGACAAATTCATATAAAAAATTCATTGTGTAATTCATTGTGTAAATAGGTACTGGAGGGGATCAGTGGAAACATTAAGAGTTATGTTGTGGAATGTATAAACGAACGCCTTGTACAGCGAAAGAAACAAAATAATACTTAGCATTACCTTTTGTAGAGGGAATCTATCAGGGAATCTATCAGGGAATCTATCAGGAGGGAGCGAAATTATAGAAAAGAAAAATTATGTAGAATAGAATATTTAACATTACCCGCGGTAGAACATATTTTGACGTGATTTGGATCTTTATTGCTGAGAGGAAGCAACTATTAACCTATACCAGAACCATTAATGAGTTGTAGTTATTGAACAATCACTTTTGTACGCATTTCTGGGTGCACCGAGTCGCAAAGATGTTCCGTAGAAGACCAGAAAGATTGCCTTCAATTTTCCACGCGTTTGTAATTACTTTCTTCCGATTTCCGCAAGGAACCTGGCTAATTAGGTTCGGATCACGCAGTTTTTACGCCTGGAGTGAGCTAAGCAATTCAAATTGTTTTTAATTTTCTAATTTTAAAAGCAGTAAGGGAAGTTAATAAACTTCCCTGCATCCCTCATTGATTCTGATCACGCGCAGTATTAGAAGTCTTGTCAGCAAACATTATGGGACAAAGTCAAGCTGATAATTTCCTTAAGTCTTGTTTTTCTGATATTTTCTATTGAAAGATAAAAAAGTTTGCAGTTTCTTTTAGTCCTGTTATCATGGGGTTTGGAAAGACATTTTCAAGGAACTTTCTGTTATCATTTGTGTACAGTACCCCCCTCGAAGAAACTTTCCGGATAAAGTTATCAAAGCGACTCTGCATAATAAAGATGTTTTCCATTGCTCTGTATGGTTCATAAGCCCATAAATGTCGTCAGTTACATATAACAATATAGAAAATGATTTTCGTATCTTAGGAAAGATCGTTAAAAGTGGCGATTTTATTGGAAGTCGAATGTGGTTGTTTTACAGGGACGGTAATAATGGTGATTTTTGGAACTATTAAAGTGACACTTCAAGAACGTTAAAAGTGGCAAATTCTCAGGAAGCTTAAAAGGAAACCTTAGGCATAGTGTGTACACATATACTGATGTATGTAAATAACGGTTCCGATCGAGTTGCAAAGAGCGATTCAAAACGCCTTGATTATGAAGGGTGGTTTTGATAACTTTATGAAGGGGACTTTTTCATGGGTGGCTGTGCCCAGTGACTGGTATTGATCCAGACCAGTTCAAATAAGAAATAATGTTTTGTTTCTTCTTCTAAAGGAAACAATAAGGGTGTTCTGCTTTAAATAGCACGTCATATTACCATCATAAAGGGGCCGGATCAAGTGAGTGGCACATGTGACTTCTACAATTAAAGTTCATTTATTATTAAACGACTGCAAAGGACGAAAGCAGCATATAAATTGTGATTGCAATTTGGTGAAGGCTCAAGTTTATATGTTGACTTTGTAAAACAAGTGGCAGTTTAGTCCAACGAGAAGGCCTGTAGAAGTGAATGAATCAATAACATGCAGCTAAAAGGTGCATTAAAACAGACAAGCAGTCGTGTTTAAAAGACTTGTGCGATATGTGCTTCGGTCGCTTAACTTAGCTAATACTTATGTTTTTTCTTCTTTTTGCAGAGTTCTGGGCTTGCTTTGGATTCGTTCTGTTGTTTTCTGCAGATGTGAACTGTTCTGGCTCCAGAAGCGGTCACAGTGCGAGTAACAGTACGACCAACCCTAACCGCTGTCCTCCTTATCAGGTGTGAAAACTTTAACTTTGTCAAATACGTTTTCGTATGTATATTTACATGCAGGTTATAGCGGAGCCTTGTTCGCAATTATCTGCAAGTCAGTTTTTTTTTGTGGAGGTTTTTGTTCGAGAATCTTTTATCGGTATGCATCTTTCTTTGAAGTTCATTTTTTGTTGTGTAATGAACACAGAACATGTTTTGAATTAACATAACCTTAACATTTTGTCAAGCAGTAATGAAGTAATATTTGCACCAGTGGAAGATAAAAGACTCTTCATTAAGGTGTAAAGAATTGAAGAAATATTAGTGTTGAAAGCTGCGTGTAAATTCACACTACTCTTAGCAAATCTTCCGGACGTTTTGAACAGGAAATGCTATAAACTATAGTTACTTTTTGCCAGCTAATCATAATAAATATTGAAATTTTTAAAATCGTGATATTACTGATATATCTGTCCGTGAACGTATCATTAGTTTTCCTTTAGAGTCTGACTTTGTATCTTGTTCAAAAATTATTTCAGTGAATTTTTAAAAACACGGAATGAACTTTTTATAAACTTTTCCCGGTTTGTTTGTGATTTTTTAGTTATTTATCCTAATTTGTGTTTGCGATGATATGCTTATCTATTAAAATGTTGCGTTTTCAAGTCAAATATTTGAGAAAGTTTTAATTTTCCTGCATAGATGTAAGATCTATTGTATAGAAAGAACTTTCATTTTTTTCAGTTTTCCTTCAGTATTGTTCAGATGTCCTTTCAAATCATTTTTCATTTCTAGTTTTAAAACTTATTTCGAAGATTTCGCTTACGGGTAAGGAGTATCGATGTAATAGTTGGTTAATCTCGAAAATCATTTGGTGTGTTTTGCCTCATCACTGTATTTCGACGCCCTTTCGCGTATACGAGCAACCGCCATCTTTTACCTTTGTCCGTGGCCTCTGTTATCGTTGATCGGTGTGTTGACTCACGTTATGTATTGCTTGATCCCTGACGTGCATGAATTATTGTGCAAACGTTGTGGTATACCACAAATAAACGATCTTTTAAGATTAATCTTCAAAACTTTAGTGTTTATTTGAATTATTGTACCATATTCCCAAATTATTACGTTGAAGGAGTTTAACTTAACTCTGGGCTTTCACAAGAAAACTGGAAAGAGTTAAGAATTGGTTTTTCTTTCAAACTGACTCTCGTCAGGGTTTTAAGTCTATCAAATCCGGAAATGTCAAACGTTGTTTAATTGTTCCTTGGTTATGCTTCATATTTCACAATTCTCAGCTTAAGCGGATTTGTGTAGCAGGTGTTGATAATAAGTTTATTTTGGTCTTTAGCTGAGGAAAAAATTCAGTGCAGAGGAAACTGTAGAAAATGTTGGCCAACCCTTACAAAATTGTGTGTACAACTCCACACAGATTTACTTCCCTGTCAAATTGTGGAAAAACTACATAGAAATGAAGATTTGAAATTCTTCTCGGAATCGTTTTCGTTGCCTGTCAAAAATTCGTGTAAAGTAACCAAAGTTTCGTCAGGCCTCGCGTAAATGGCGTGCATTTCCCCAAAACGCGATAGAGTAGGTAAGAGACAGTGGCAATAATAATGGAAAAAAAAACTATCTTTCATCGTCGTGCATTAACCTTCACTGTTGACAGATACCTTTATCGTTGTCGGATACATGAATTGCTAACAGATAAATTATTGAGAACTGCCCCAAAAATATTTATTTGTTTCCAAGGTCTGTTTCCCTGCCGGGCCTTTATTGAATAACTGAAAATTATCATTAAGGTAGCAAAGTTGCTAGCAAAGTTGAAACTTTTCAAAACTTGCATGAAATTAAATTTCATAGTTGACTGGCAAACATCCTTTCAGTTCATTTGATTTTGGAGCTTTTACCTTTTTCCAGCGTAAAATTGAATAGCTTTAAGTATCTATTAAGGACAAATTATACATTTCAATATTTGGAGCTCAAATACTGATCTTGTAGAGTGATTTCCGCTTTGTTCGCAAACTTAGAATTTACTCCGTAGTCCCTCAATGTTGTTGATCCTGAAAGAGCTAAGTTTTGTCAACACGAAAGGCAAAATCGCGTCGAAAGGGAAATTGTAGATTTGCATTGAGATTACCAGCTGTTAACGGGTCGTTGAAACAAAACCTCTGAATAAGATTACCGCGAACAGACGATGAATTCCAGACAAAGATGAAAGAACTAATCAGAGCTTAGGCCTACAACAGAACTAAAGAGAAAACTGATTACAATTACATTTGTTTCAACTTCTTGGTCAGTTGAAAGGCTCTTGTGCAGTGTGACGCTAATTCACACCTTAACTACATAAACCTTCAACTGAATTGAAAATAGGCTGGCCTAGCACGTGACTCGTCATCAGTGATTTCCTTTTTCTTCAGGTTTTTTGTGAACCTACGGGTCAATGTGTCAATCGCTCGGGGTTCACTTGTGGAAACAATTCGTGCGCGAGGAACGAAAAACTCTGTGGTCCACCCCAGGAAATGAATTGTGAACCTGGAAATCAGCAATGTCCCAAGGATTTCAGAGGACATAATTCCAATCTCAAGCGAAATAACAGCATCCCCTCCAAATTGAATGAAAGTCTCCCCATGAGTAAAATTGATCGTAACGTCTCCCAAGTTAACGTTCAACACCGCCGTCGTTCGCAAGACGATGCAAACCCGTTCTCAGCTGGGAGGACTCGAGATGGTCAGCATGACTTTCAGCGAAATGAGACAAGTAATATGTTGAATGATACAAGGTTGAGGAGAATTTTGGGTCGGTCTTTCAACCCTTCTATGATTGATGAGATAATTGGGAAAGGGCGTCGTTCTAACGTGACACATGATAAAAAAGATGTCAAGAATCAAGAGGCATGCGACAGACGATATTCCCACTGCATTAGATCCACCTTGGCGAATTTGATGTTGTTCAAAGATCTGGATGGGGAATGCTGCAGGATGACTCAGGAACCTCTTCAGTTCGTCAAAAGTTTGCACAATATCAGTCGGAAGTTTATTGATTGTCCTCCTGGAAAGAAGTTTTCTCCTCTGAGTTTTGTTTTCAAGGATAATGGTGGATGCATTCCGATGAATCGCTCAGACGACGATGTTCCCGAAGAACACCGGTGGACTTCGTCAAAAAACAGATCTGAAAAAGAACATAGTTTTTGTGAAATCGTCAAGAAAAACGTTAATGACAAAAAACCGCTTTCTTCTCGTCGTCTTGTGCGTTGGTTGGTGGAGAAATACAACGTTTCCCGTTCGGTGAAACACTGTCCAATAGGAAAGACGTTTTGTCCTTCGTCCTTCGACTGTAGAACAAAAGAACGCGGGTGTCACGCTGAGAAGCTGAAAAAGTGGGCGTCAAAGAACCTTTGCAATTCCTCAGAACATCTCTGTCTCGGCTGTGGAGCTGGATGCCGCTTGAAGAAAAACGAATGTCCAAAAGAAGCAAACATGAGCAGAGCATTGAGCCAAGCAGCGCTCTCAATTGAACCAGGTGCGATGAGTTGTGTTGTCAACATTAAAAGTTTTGATTAAAAGAAAACTCTACCGATGGATCATGACAAAGAAACCAAAAGCTAAAAGATTCGTACACCGCTTGAATTCCAAGATTAACCCTTATCCCAAACTCCATTTCTTTGATAAAAAATCTGCATTGAGAATCCCATTTAATGAGTGTCGAATCATCTTGGAACAATTGTTGATTTTGTTGATTGTTTTGGACCGCAGCTCTTGGCGAAGAGCTAATCGCGATCAGTCATTTCGATGATTGTCAATAAATTGAATTTTGTTAGAGAGGCTCATATGAGGCTTCCTGCAATTTTCTTGTTTCCTATAAGCGCACTCAAATATTCTTCCACGACTTGAGCGAAGCTCAGCCTCGAAAATGAAAACAAAATTTTTCTTTCCTTTCTTTTCAGGAAATATTCAAAACAAGACAATGCGTTTACTATCTAAATCAGGTAATGTGTGAGATCCGTTTACCCACTGCCTTTTTTCACGAAGTTAGTTTGTCCTAATGGAACTGAAGTGGTAGGGGAGATTTGGTGACTTATCTAGATCCTAACCTCACTGTGATTCGATTTAATGAGCTTGTCTATGAAACTGGTTATTAGTTTCTCGCTGTCGCGTGAAATTCCCACCGTTTGTTGTTAAATATATGGTGATAAAGACAGCTTTAGCTCTTCACGGAGCCGATCGAGTGATTAAGGATTATTGGTGTGTTTACATAGTGGAAAATGCAGTTATGCCATTGGTAATCATGCCATAAATAAATTGATTAAATGGGGAGCAAGGTGTTAGTTTCAAAGATAAATTTTGGTTTCAAACTTACAATTTCGTTGTTGCCTTGGCGCAGAGAAAGTCCACAGAAAACCATGTTTTTAAGTGAGTCACAAGGAAGGTTAAAATGTCTGGCGGTGGGTTTGGTAGCAGCCTCGTAATTTTTTTCCATCAAAATTCGTTACGGCGGTTTATCAACCTTTTCAATTCATATTTGGTAATCACGATTTAGTTCAGGATAACACGTTAACCTTCTGTTAAAAATTTTATGACTATCAGGATGGGCTTCATTCTGCTTTGTTAGAAAGGCCTTGTTGACTTGCATTTTGGAGCAACTCAAAGATTGCATGTCACGTGAAGTTCACTGTCGTGAAGCTGGGTACGAATCACATATGAGTTGCCTCTCTGGTAAAACTTTCTGCCAAAAGATCGTTGACGTCGCTTGTCCTTTCTCCGCTGAGAATTGCCATCTGTGCAACCTCCTCAGGAAAAATGCAAGTAGGTTTGCGAGGGTTATTAAGAACCGGTCCACAAAGACCCCGTTTGGAGGCAACTGTTCTGAAGAAGAGGTTTACTGTCCTACTTCGTTGGGCTGCGTACCCAAAGGTAGTTTATCCAACTGCACTGCAAACAGGCAGTTTTTTCAACTGGGAATGGAGAAAGAGCCGTGGGACAAAAGCAAAACACGCAGAGACGATGCAGGATTTTGTATGCTGACTATGAGGTATGAAAATTATGTTAAGCTACGCCGAGACTCAGTGGGTAGCTGCTAATTTTTACACGGTTTTTGTGACAGCTCATCCATCAAAAGAACATGGGCACAATCAGCGTTTTGAAATTTTAATCCATTATAATAATTCATATGCACGATCCACAATTTAAGGGTATAACAATTAACTTGTCATTGTCTTGTAAAACGGAGAAACTGTTACAAAATTAAAATGGTATAAAAACATTTTGAGGATTTTTGTTTACTAATAAGCTCAGCTTATTAGTAAACAAAAAAATCCAGGGTGGATTGAGCTAAAACATGAGGTTGTTAATTAAAACCAGTTTGAAACCAGTTTTAATGTTATACCTGAATGTGAGAAAAACTGAACAAAAAGATTTCGTTTAATCTTGGATTTCCAATTAATTTCTAAAAATCTTTTAGCCTTGCTAGAAATGGTTCGTGTTCTTTTGGCACATGGCTTCAGTGGCAAACACGAAAAAACAAAAGCTGCTCACCTTTTGGTCCTAAACTTAGATGTTGTCCAAAAGATGAGGTTTTTTCTGTCTCGACCATGAAATGCGTTGATCCAAATGACAAAGACCAGATGAATGGTCAGCCTGACCAAAAAGCTTCGTGCAAGCCTGATAATCAAGAGTCTTGTCCACGCCAACACGATTGCCTCCCTAAACATTTCAACTGCACCAAGCCGGATAAGTTTGATTACTTCTCTATCAGTGCGTTTGCTAACAGGAGCGGTAGGTGTACGTTTTCTTATTTACGATATTTCATTGGCCATAATGATAAATATTTTCAATATCAAAATACTTATAATCGTCTGCATTACAGACAGTACTGACCTCATCACTAACACTCTTATGATTGTACCACCATACAAATTTGACGAAAATTCGAAAACTTGAAAGCAATTCTGTCTTCATTCTGTATGTAAGGGTAGGTACACCTCACTATCAAACTTTTCAGCAGGAATAGGGAACAGTCAGTCGGGCTGACATGGTTAGACGCGATCTAAGGCAAAGACTAGGATTTATCACAAAGATCTCTTTTATCATCGTGTGATGTAAAGCAATTTTGCTGCTGGATCAAAAATCATTTTTCATGCTTGCCACCACTCTGACCTGCGTTGACACGCTAAAGAAAACTCATCTGCTAGAATAAAGATTAGCGCTGGTATGAAAAGGATTTTGAAGGGAATCTTCTTTTGACATTTGATTAACTTTCATTAGCGACCATTGAAGTTTGCGCCGTCGTATATAATAATGTTATAAAAATACCAAACAAAGGGTATTTGTTATTTGTCGGTGGATGTGCAGCTCTGGTAGCTCAGTTTTCTTTCCTTTGCAGGCTGGGCAGCTTTTTGTCAAGTCCTCCGCCCCTTTACGGTAAGACTAGAGTATGGTCTCAAGAAATGCAAACAGTTTCTATCAAAATCAGACGAAACCTGTCGGGCTGACATTAGTTGTACAGACGAACAACAGTTTTGCCGCCGCCTAGGACGGTAAGAGAATCTAGTGTAACAGCTCTTCAGATTTGTTATCTGTCCCACTCTGGTGAAAAATGAATTTAATAATTGTATTGAATTCAAATGGTTGTAGCAGAATTAGGAAAGCATGGATTCCATGTCGGTCAAATTTTATGCCATTGCATTCTCCCAAAGTTTTACCATACTCCTCATCTGTTTCAGTGTAAAGTCAGTAGTTTAATTCCAGAAAATTTACCGTTTCATTTTTGCCATTGGTCTCTCTTTGCCCCTCGCCATTACTAAAGTAGGTGAGAGCTTTATGGGTCCAAAATCGTGCGGAGGAAATTTTTATCTATTGTCCAGTGTCTATTTACTACTTTACATAGTCCGTTTGAGGACAACAGTCTTGTGTGATGATTCACCCAGCAGAAGAATGACTCGCTTAATGAAACAATCACATCTTGAGTTGTGAGAATAACATCTTAAAGAAAATAGACTGAAAAAATATGCTGACACTTTCTGCATTAACGTTGTAAACAGCGTCAACAATAAATTTATTTATCCCTTCCTTTTTTTCGTTTCATCAGATGTGCTCCCAGAGGAAACTGTAGTGGCATTAGACAGAGACAACCGGAGCACAGGAATCCCACACCCACTCAATATCCTCTCTGTAACTCGTCAGACCCAGAGGCGCGAATGCTGTGGTCCAAAGAACCCCTCAAATATCTATTTTCGGCCAGCGAAGTTCCAGATCTTATCGGGCTGTTCGCGGTTAGGAATAAATACAGTGCCAGCCTGGAGTTCAAATCAGAAGCTGAAAACGAATGGAGGCCATACAAAGGATGTGCAGATGATCAAATGCTAGTGGTGTCAACTGAAAGCGCTTTAAGGTGCATTTTAAGTAACTAGTATTACACAGGAAAAAATTACGCGCCACTAATTGCCTAAAAACGAGTGCATTTTTCATGCAACACGAGTACAAATTATAAAAAGCGCGCGTGCGATGAAAAAGTTTTGTCTGTCGTTACTTTCTGTAAGTTATTGATGAGTGATAACTTGATTTGTTGTTCAACTTGACGTAAAGAAGCACTTGTAAATTTCTCAAAGACTACAAATTGCGCTGGCCCTACGAGCTCGTGCAATTTTGTTTTCTTAGAAAAATTTAAACCCTGGCTTGTTAACACCAAATTATACCCAAAATCATCTTATCACCCATACAAAAAGGAATAGCTGTAACAATTATTATAGCAGTAACAACAAACCTCAGCATCTTTTCACTCATGGATTGTTAATTCTTTGATTTACTAGCTAATCTTATTTTCTTATCTTTTTTATCAAAGGTTTCAACGTTGTGCACATGGCTTCTTGTCCTTTGAAATTGAAATTGGACCGAGGAATTCCGCACATGGGCAATGTGTAGACATTTCGGCATCGGTTCGAAAGAGAGACGTAGTTGTCATGGTTTTGATGCCAAACTGCGCCGCTGGTCTGGACATCAATGTTATTCGTCCAAAAATTATTTTGAGAGAGGATCATTCCTCGCAGAAAGAACAGGTGCCAGTAGTTGATGATATGATTCATGAATGCAGGCTATCAAATAGTAATGACAGGCTCTTTATAGTGTCCGTTAAGAGGAAGGTGTCCATCAGAAACAGATTATAGAAGTTTTTTCAATGATAGAACTAGAGGTTAAAGTTTCGGTTTGGTACAGCGTCAACCATATTCATCCATATTCATAATTGGCTACTTCAGTAAATCAATTTTTTTTTTTATTTGTACACATTGTATACTATTTGCATATAAAGGGGATTGTTTGAAATGAGAATTTGATTGCAAACGTGGTGGAACTTCTGTAGATGCACTTTGTTTGGTGTGTTGCAAACGCTTAAAGTCGCGGCTTGCGATATCAGGTAGTATGAAAATTAAACATGTTAACAAGACAAGATTTAAAATCTGTTAATTTTTCCCATTATCTAAAAATTTGTCTGAATAGCAGCAGATATGTCACGAATTTAAGAAAATATACGACAAATAAAAAAAAAAACATGTTTCGACAGGGTCTTTCACAGGGTCTTTCACACTAAACATGTTACCTATTTCAAAAGATGAAAAAACCAAGTTGATATCTATGTTATTACCATAACGCTTAGCAAAGTGGCGAACCCTCTTTTTTTTTTGTCACGCAAAAAAGGGTTCGCCATCTAGATATTAAGTTGGCTTTTTCATCTTCTAAAAGAGGTATTAGGATTGGTGTGAAAGACCCTATCCCTCATGGGCTCCGTTAATTTAAAACTTTCCTTGTAATTGCATGCATTGTTTTATTTCTATTGTTTGTTTTGTCCAATGAGCGTTCTGTTATTCACTTTAAATTCAACTTTGTACTTCGTATAAATCAGAACTAAAGATGACAGAAGAAATGTCGAAACTTGTTTTTAAAAAATGTCATATATTTTCTTCAAATCTAAAAATTTAATGCAACCACTTGGTTAAATGCAGCTTTTGGCTCCCAATTGGGAGTCAATCTGATGTTAGCAGACGGCTAGTGAGGTGTTCACTGAATACAAGTTTACATCACAAGGACATATGGGACGACAAGCTTGTGACTTTGTTTAGACTCCACTTAACACAGTGTTTTCTAATGATATCGGGTCTGCTGAATATGGGGTCCGTTTGGGCTTTATTGTGAGAAAAGTAAAACCCCCTACCTGTAATTTTCCTACGGATACTTGTCACGCCATGTCCCCATGGAAAGATTTTAAAAACCATCCCAGATTTTGCGTTTCTTTGCAGGTATTATAGGGAGTGTTACTAAACCATGTTAATTTTTATTTCCCAGTTTTCCAAATATGTCAACGTTACAAGTCATCCGAAAAACTGCAGTGAATTAAAACTAAATAAATCGCTGGCCTGTCGGGTTCCCAAAAAGTTTACTTCACTATACAACCAAGCAGTGAAACAGCTGCAACAGAAGATTACCGGGGTGGTCATAACAAAAACGAAGCCCTTAAATAAAGGTAAATAAAAGGAAAAAAATCCATTGAAGACAACAATCATTTATTTTTCTTTATTGCAACACGATAGTGACGCGAGGTGTATTAACGTTTGTTTATTTTGATTCCTTACAGTTCAGATACTTTTTGATTATCTAGATACGAGCTTCATATCATTTTCATCCTATCTACAGTGCAACTAAGATGCTCCATTAAAAGATCCAGGAAGCTTCTTGAAGTTACTCCGAATGGACCAAGTTCCAAGTCTGTATTTTTCGCGCCGGATTGGACCTGTGTAATGGAGCCGTCTCCAAATATGTTTGGTAATGTTAACCTTACATTAGCTCCTGCCTGCAGAGTACCAGCGCATTCTCCAGTCGACTTAAATGAAGTGAGTTCACCTGGTTTTACAAAGGTCTGCATCAGCTGACTCCTTTTATTTTATGGAAAAATTTGTTTATGGTTAGTGTATGAGGAGAGCGTTCCAACGGGTCCTTTATAAGATTTTCACCCGATTATTTCCACAATGACCAACTCCGAATGTGATAAATGTACATAATGAGTGTGGTTTTGAATATCATAGGAAAAACCCACGTGGCTCAGGGAAATATCCGAGAAAGAATATAGCAGTATCTTGCGTAGGATTGAGAATGGGCGCATTGAGGAAGCCATCGAGAAACTTATAGATCGACTACAGAGAGGAACCAATGTTAACTTGAAGAGAAAGATTGTAAATTTTGTGAGGTCTTTCATTGTGCCGGATGTAAAGGTAATTTGTAGGTCTCTAACGGGCATCATTGGCATGTGTTATTTCTCATACAGCTTTGGCTTGAGGATGCCTCAATTATAAATGGAAATATCTATATAGAAAACTTAGGAAACCCCAAAAAGGAAAGACAGCGGCCAGTGGAGAATAAGATCATAAACAAGAAATAGTGGAATTTAAAAGCTCTTTGCATTTCTTTAAAGCCAAACTTTCACGAGATCATACTTTAATTTGGGTTGCTTTTAGATTTTAATCTAACTGTCAAAATGTAATCAAGTTATCGCACTTTTATAATCACTAACTTATTGTCGACATTTTGATATTCACACAATCCGACATAAAGCATTAAAAGTATTTGTATTTTTAAAGTTATCTCATGTGTATCTTAGGGAAGCTGTGCGGGATCACAAGAGGGCAAATGCCGCATAGGATCAGGAATGGCTCGGCTACAAGTCAGAATATTATCCTTGAACGACCCTCCCAAGTTTCAATTGGAAAATCGTGAGAAATTAATTCCTTTCCCGCCAGTTCGGGAGAACTTTAGTGACGCTGATATCAGATGTTGGCGAGTTGGAAACTTGACGAAGATGAGCTCGGAGTATGTCAGATACGTCTTCGAAAGGAAAGAGGTTCCCAAGGACTTTATAAAAGTGAAGCCGCTTAACCCGAATCGCCGCCCATTCACTGTTGTAGCTGATCCTGATGACTCTGAGATTGGATTGGCTGTATTGCATGCACCACCACAGAAGTATGTCGCTTGGAAATTCAGGATCGAAAATGGCCCTCTACAAGAGATAAATTTGACTTCAGGGGTGATGCTTCTCTTAGGACCAAATGATTGCATTGCCTTAAAGCCCCGCAGAAACGTATCTTGGACAAAGGGTCAATCAAGGAAATCGATATTTTTGATGGTTAAAGCTTACGACAACTCAGATAACAAATCATCAGGATACTACGAAATGAATTCCACCGCCTTAGAGTTGGATACATCTTTATCACGGGAGAGTGTCAAGTTCGTAGCAGCTCAGCTTGGGTGTGATAATGTGGCCTGGTCAAGGAAGAAAAGAGACAAATGTAATCAGTGCCCCAGGAGAGGTGTCAAGGAAAATAGCTGCCTTGGATGCGATAACATACCTTACTCAAATAAGAAAAAAGGTCAGTCATTATCTTTTGATTAAAGTGTTTAAGAAAAAGGGTTAGTGGGGCATGGCCAGGCTACTTAAGGAGACTAAATTATAAATATTTTGTTTTGAAGATGAGTGTAACAGATGCGACAACAAGACTACTTCATTCTGTTCTGGGAGCTGCTTGATACCATCTTACGTAGATGAATGTAACATTTGCCAGTCCAACGACAATGTCATCAATTTCAAAGACTGCAATGGTGACTGCAACGGTAAAGCAAAATGGGTATGTGAAAACATGTGAGCAAATAATCTATTTTTAATACTGTGAGAACTGTAAGCTTACCATTCAGTTCTCTTCCTATTTTATGTGACAGTCTGATTGCAATACTACTGTTTGTGTTGGCGGGAAAACTATGAAGCCATTGCATTGGGGAAAAGACGAGTGCGGAGTTTGCGGCGGAGATAATTCGACGTGTGTTGACTGTGAAGGAGTACCACATGGAAACAAAACGAAGGATTCATGTGGTAATTGTGCAGATCCTCAAGACACGAAAAACTTTGATAAATGTCCGAAAATCCTTGATTGTGATTCCAGAGCCTTACCTTCAAATCAACAAACATTGATGAGCCTGAGAGTTACTGGGATGGCCAAAAAGATCACCTGCTATCTCTACAAGGACGCTGAAAGGTCTGTATGCGCTCTGCAATTTTTTATCTGATTCCCCTCGGTTCAAAGGATCAAAGTTATCCATTTCCTGTTTACCTGTGTAACTTGACCGTAAAACAACGGTCTGTAAAGGACTTTCCGTGCGGTAATAGAAGGAGAGTTCACGATCAATTTATACGTTAGTTAAAGCAATAGTAGTTCTAATTTTGGGCCACCAGTATTCTCACCCCCTGACATTGACTAGGTTTTAGGTTTTAGATTTTTGGTAACTGTTCAGAACGTTTGTCCATAGATGTGCATATGAAAGGAAGCCGAGAAGATTTTGATATTTGATTGCAATTTCATTGTACACGTTTTGGAATCAATTTTTTTCAATTGAATAAATTTCATTTGACCTACAGATGAAAATCAAGTAAAGCTATGGTCGTCGTAGGTTAGCCGCAATTTTAACAATTCCATGCACAAAAGGAAGCCTAGAGAAAATTCAGGCTTCGAGGGAATTCGAATTCATGCCTCTCAGATACTATTTGGGCGCTACTAAGAACTGAGCTATAAAGCACACTTTGGAAGCAAGGCATATTCAGAGGATTGGATTGTTAGGACAACTTGGATTCCCATCGAAGATTATAACCATTAATGTCACATTAATATAATAATGTGACATTATTGGCAAAAATTCGGTGAGAGGCAGTTTTTCAGGATCTTCGATTATTTGAATTAAGAAAAACAGAATAATTCTTGTGCTAATTCGTTGTTTACAGAAAATACGACTTGACGTTTGTGAAGGCTCTTTCAAGGAAGAAAGTTATAGTAAAAACACCAAGTATGAGAACTGGTAACTATTCACTTAACTGTTCTTTTGACGGGAACAAAAACAAACTGGGATTCGACAAGTTTAGGATCCTGGTTTATGGAAAACCTGATATCATCGAGGCCAGCCCGAATGAAACTGAAATCAACACCGAAAGAAATGTAACACTCACAGGTAGAGGATTTTTCAAGACTACCTCTTTAGCATGTGTGATTTCCAAAGAAAAAAACGAGAAAGAGGAGGAGAGCTTACAAAAGATTCCAGCCCTTTACGTCAACCCAACAACAATTGTCTGTATTCTGAAGCGTTTCATTAAGGCGCAGCGCGGAACGATCAGCATTCTCTTTGCCATCGGAGCAGAAAACGAAAAAATATCCAGAGATATTGCAGTTAAGTTTAATTTCTACGATCGCGTACCTAAGCCTTTGGAATGCAAGTTTAGGGCGTCTGCTCGCTTCATATCCATCCGTTTTGATAGACTGGTTGACTGCACCGACAAGTGGGAGAGTGGCGACCGCTTCATAACAGGCAGTGCTCTGGAAAAAATAACTAAAGCGTCAAAGGCTCGCTGTAAAAATAAAAAACTTATCATCAGCCTCCCGCAAAATTCCCGACTTCGCCCCGGAGAGGAAGTGGAACTTGACCTGAAGAGTTTTAAAAGCAAATGGTCAAGTTATACTAAACATTTTCCTTCAGATAAAAAGAATGTCACGTGCAACTTAGAAGATGGTGTGAATCTCTCGGTCGAGATTTCTGGCCCAAAGAAAGTAGGTATGTGCAAAGGGATTTCACCCAAAACGCGATGTGAGATCAAAGTGATATAAACTCGGATGTATTAAAAAACTGATAGTAATTGTAAAGTCGCATAGCAGAACCTGGAGATCCAAACTTTTGATTTGGTGATATAAATGAATGAAACGACAAGAAAGTAACAGCATGTTTAGATTTTGCATGCCACCCCATTTGCAAATGAGGTTGTAGTTTGTTGCAGGTTGTTTAGTCGAGTTGATGAGCCAAGACCTTTTAAAAGCAGAGGGAAGATAATTTGGATGCGAGCTGTGTGTTAAATCGGGAAACGAAGCGTGGAGATTCGTTATCATTTAATGGAATTTAGATGTCTTTTGTTTTTTTGTAGGACGGTGCAATTCATTAGTGATTTCCGCAAAGACAAACATGCCAGCAAATATGAATTGGACAGTGGCTGTAATCGATTCACCGGCAGCATCTAGGCACACCGCTAACGTGCAGGAACTGAACAGCAGATTCAAATACTTGCCATCCAATCAAACTAGAATACGACTTAATGCGAGCAATGTCCTAGAGGGAGCAAAATACAACATAACAGTGTGTGCCCAGGAACGTCTCACAGAAAAAATGGAAATGGCTTGTGATTCCATCATCACTGAGCGCGTTGGTAAAGAAATTCCAAAGATCAAGTTTGCTAAGGCGACAATGGAAATTAGTCCCTCTCGAACACTGAAGCTACGCGGTGAGTTGGACAATTTATTAGCTGTAGGGACCCATGAGTTTAAGACAGAATAGCTTTTTACTTAATTTTTTCCTCGTTGACCCCGCACTCTGAGGATGAAAGAAAGCCAACTTTCTTTCAGGAAGACGCATCGAATAAATTATAGCCTGTTTGTACTCTAAGTTATATTCTAAAATGAATCCCTATTATTAAAGTAGCTTAGTATTAGGACTATATTTAAAAATCATCCTTGGTAATTTCAAGATTATTCATGGCCATATACTAGATATTTATGATGAAACTAGATCTTCATTAAAAATCAATACAATTATACACTGGGAACAATTAAGGCTTGGCAGGATTTCAGAAAAGCAGGTTGTGGAACGATCTCTTCTAAAGTTTGGGAAACATAGACGACGCATCCATTATTTTTTATGTTTGCTCAAATATTTCGGAGAGCAATAAAAACTTTCATAAGTATTTATGACATATAGTTTGCTAGCTTCATTTTTGCTTTTTCTTAGTTTGAGTATTATAAGATTGAGCTCAAAGCTGCATGTGCTGGTTGAATCAATATTTATCGATTGCCATCGAACTGCTACTTCTATGTTTTCGCTGGCAGCAAATGTTCGTGCCTCTTCGTGCGCCACATCAGACATGCGTTATTTGTCATTTATATGGTCATGTGACGACCCAAATATGGAGTTTGATGACAGCAGCCCGGTGCTTGAAATAAAAGATGATCAGTGGACTTCTGGGAAAGTGAGTTGTTTGACTTTAAACTTCCAAGTCATCGACTGTCATTAGTATTTTTCCCTTTCAGCTGTTCTATATCACCTTAAAGATCGGCTAGGGGGATTTGGTTTTGTATTGTGATAACATCTCCCTCTTGCTAGATATTGCATTAAAATTGCTTGTAGAAAATGCTTACAAATTTTGTGCTGTGAAGAATTTAAATTGTAAGGAAAATAAGAAGTATAATCTTTATGTGAGGTACGTTCAGAGTTGGACGTACATGAGTGAGTATATTTCATGGTGTTGCCGAAGCTGTTGCCGAAAAAGCACGGTGAAGTCATTCAACCTTACTTGCTTTATTTTTGCCGCTTTCTTGAGTCTGGTCATCATTTGTCCGTGCGTAGAAGCCAGAGGGAAGGGTTCATTTCTAGAGAAGGAGCTGACTATGGAGCCAAAAACAAAACCTAAATTTAAGTGAAACTACCGTCTATTTGATGTAGTTTGGCTTTTTTTCCATGAAAAATATTATGTTTGCTATACTTGGTTCAATGCGTTTCTGGTATTGCTGTTATATTGCTGTGCGTTTTAATGGTAATTTTGCAAACATATCCACGGTCCGCGTTGGGTGGTTGGGAGTGTTTTAAGCGTCTCATTTAAAGCCCAAATATTTTTGCTTTTAATTGATCTTGCAGAAATATGAATTCACTCTGACAGTGTATGTCAAAGGTGATGACAAACTGTTTTCGGATGACAAAGTCACCATTATGACAAAGAGAGTACCTATTGTCGCCAAGATTAAAGGTACGGCAGTACAAGCGGAACTAGCAGCGGAAGGCTGAACATCTATTCAAAAGTTTTTGTTAAGCCCGTGGCTGCAAAGTATAGCAAATGAGCAAACGCTGTTTGGTAACTGTTGTCAAAGTATTGTGGAGGAAAGAGAGTCATTCTGACCTCTAAGCTAACTTAAGTCCAGGTTTTCACTTACTTACTCTTAACTTAAGTGAATAACGTCGGTAAATAAAGTACCACGGTAACTGGAGGATCTGTGACATTAAATAGAGAACGGCTCCTGTTATACACAAAAGAGGCCATTGAAATTTTGACAGAACTTCGTTTCACCTGACCATAACCCCTTTACAGGTGGAGAAAAAGTATCGTTAAGTGTCCACCAAGAGGCAGTGTGTGATGGGAGCGACTCCAAAGATTCTAACAACTTACGTGGAAATCCCATTTACGTGTGGATGGCAAACTGCAAAGAAGGGGACAAATGGTATCCAACATTTTACAGAAACAAGACAAGCGAAAAGATTCAACGGCTCATTTTACCACGAACAGCAGTTGTCCGTATTCCACCAGACACATTACCTGCTGATAAAACGTAAGAATAGATTGTTTCTTGTTTCGTTCCTTCCTCATTTTGAAATTCATACGAGATAGGGTTGAAAGATTGAAATATCTTAATATCAAATAGTGGAATTTCACATTGAACCAACAGTTGTGCTGTGACACTGAATTATTACAAGGACGACATGAACGCCTCTGCATCCGTGTACTATGAACTGAAAGGAAGGGAAATTCCTGAGGTAAAGATGCTTCGAGTCGCTCGAATTCTCACTAGTAACAAGGTGATATTCCGAGTTGTCTTGAAGACCAAGCTACCTGAAGTAACAGTTAAATGGTCGTGTAAAGAGAGAGACGACGAAGGTGAGTTACTTGACTTAGTCACGATTAATGCTTAAGAGCGACACCTGTAAACCGGTCAAACTTAGCAAGGAATGATGAGAAATATATCAGCTAAGGCAAATCAAGCAAATTTACCCAAATTTGCTTCAAATCGGCCAAATATTAGATATGAACACATGCAATACAGCCAGACTACGAGGAGAAAGAAGGACTTCTCGTAGGCTAACTGCAACTTTGGTTTTACTGCATTATACACAAGGTAAGAAATTTAATTTCTATCAGAAAAGAAATTGTCGATAGAAGTTGATGGAAAAGACGCCTCTTTTGTTGAAGTTCTCGCAGCACTGCGGTATTTTTTCCACCTGTTTGAACTGGTTCGTACAGTAGATTACGTTGAGAGAGAAGGGCCGTTTGTGGTCTAAATGGTTTCTTTCGTGTTTTGCAAATGAATGTAATGTCTATCGGTGAATTAACATAAAGAGACTAAATTATTATATTCTCATTAGGAAAAATGATCGACGTTGATCTTGAAGATTTTGCTCGCACGCGATCAGTCCTTATCGTCAAGAAGAGACCGAATAGACTCATTATCAAGCAGAAAGTGTCGCTTGTTCTGAAAAACCTGCCAGATGGAATAAAGTTAAGATGCAAATGTCAGGTATCCCACGAGGAACTGGAGGCTTTCGTTGAGGAGGAGCTTGATGTTAATGAGCCACCTTTGGAAGGAACAAGTAAGCAAAATAAATGGTACCTTGGTCAAATATAGTTATAATGCTAACGCTCCTTTTGAGTACAATGACTTGCTTCGTTTCAAAGATTGGTGTACAAGCTTTAAACGCTTGCAAAAATCCACATTTCAATGAAGTATTGTTCCTTTCATTTCAATCATTTTTTTCTTCCTTTTCTAGGTTTAGTTGAGAAATCAGAGGATGGAAAAATTTCGATAACAGGTCAAGGTTTTGAAGACCCTGAAGGCGAGGAGTTGTCGTACCGTTGCGGATATATCGAGGAAGGCGAGAAAACCAAATACCACGCCATTTCTTCCTGGTCTATGGACAACACTTGTGAAGACGTCCTTTTACCTGAAGGTAGGAACTTTGTCCTAGAGTGGCCTAGGGAAGTGTGGACGTGTCTGGATAGCATATATGAAGGTCTTTTTTAATTGACTTCTTATATCATCCAGCATAGTTTATATCATCCAGCATAGTTTAGTTTAACCAACACTGAACCGAAATTTGCAAAAATCTTTCCTTTATTAATGTATAGATCTAAGTTATAAGTGGTCTCTTGGTCATTGTAACAGAATGAATGTCGTGCTTTGAAGTTACTTCAGTTGTAGACAGTCTTGCTTGCGGTCAAGCTAGTTGCAATTCCAACTGTGCAGAGAAGGTCATTAGATTGAACGACCTTGACTTACTGGAATATGCAATTTTTTTTTCTTCCTACCCTTTTTTAAAATCGAATTTCGGCAAGTTTCTGTATCTTACGTTGATAATACTCAAACGGTAATTCATATAAAATATAGAAAAAACCTTTTTCTTGCGAATATATCGAGGAAGGCGAGAAAACAAATCATAACGCTGATCTGATATTTTCAGTGCTAAAGGTACGACGGTAGACAGAATGTTTCATGGTTTCATATAATCCTTTGGGCCCTTTTACAGGTAAAGAGGTCAACAATTACGAAATAAAGTGTTTCGTAGAAGCGAAAGATATGCAGGGAGCTAAAACACTCAGTGAATGTTCAGCAACTGTTACTCCGCGAGAATCGCTTTGCAAAGCGGAGGAAATAACAAGAGAAGTGGACGACCTCAAGGAACGGGTTAGCCTGGGCGAAATACCTGAAGCTACCGGTGAGTACAATATTATTACTTAAATTTTCTCGCAACAAGAAAAAATCAAAACAATCCACGCCCAAAAGAAACTTGCTCAAAGTTCGTTTGGTTCGAATGCGATTGTTTTGACATACTTCTTCCTTCGGAGTTTTAACTTTGTTCATAACTTTTTTAATCATATCATGTCTTTTCACCGATTAAATTGGTCCATTTCCAGCGGAGCTTCAGTTAATAGCACAATGTGCAGACAACAATGACAACGGCAGCTCTGATGCTCTTAAGGAAGGTGTAAAGGAAGCTGCAAATGGGGTAAGGAAATTCAGAATACAGATAAACCTCCGACAATTGAATTTTTGAATTTTAATTTTATTCCTCACTATCTCCGCTATTTCCTTATAACGATAGTAAAAAAACCACGTGTGCCTTTCAATTATAGCTCAATGAACTCATGGTAGAACGGAGAGGGAAAACTCCTGACCCCGATGGCGACGCAGGAATAATGAGAGCAGTGGAGGTCACTGTGGATGCAGCCAAGAAGGGCAATGCAGAGATAAATTTCAAAGAAATATCTGGAAATGTTCGTGAAATGAATTTTCCTCAGCCTGGAGAAAGCGATTTTAATCCTCGTCGAAAACGACGGGCAGCTGATGATGGCAGCAATGAAGGAGAGGGAGAAGTTACGATGAAGACAGCAGATGAGGTTTGTCATGGTAGTCTGGCGTAATTTAAATTCTCATCGTATGAAAACGTTCGTAAACAAACGATTAGTTTTAAAAGATTGGGATTTGATTTCCCAAGTTCTGAGGTTTTTATATTAAATGCTGGGGAACGATATTGAGTCCATAGGTTGGTCCTCACATTTTAATCAGTGAATTAACTAGAGTTTCATGAGACTTACCGCAGAGGCCTGAGCCTTTAAAATTAAGCCGGACATGCATTTGCGTTAGCACAGCGAAGGTATGCTGGTGTTTCGTTCTATTATTCGCCAAAATTTTACTTTATGTCACCGGAAAATGGTAAATCCAGTTGAAATTTCTCCTTTCCGGGTTAAGCTGTTGTCTAAAATGTGATACTCTCCCCTTCCACAGGTTGAAACCGTTCTGAGTATTTACAATACACTTATCGACCCCAACAACTTTACCGATGCCTCCATGTTAGTGAAAGGGGACCTTGTGTCTCTCGTTGATGAACTCGGGCGTTCCATGTGCCAAGGAATTAGTACTGGAGAGGAAGCTGTCATTGCTGAATCAAACATCGTTGTTATCAAAAGTGAACAGAACAGTTTTGATGATGTAGATGTTAACTTCACTCACATCGCATGTGAAAATTGTAGCTCTGTTCAAATCAGTGCACAGGTCCTGCTTGGACAAGCTTTGAAGGACCTCTACCAAAGCTGGGACTGTGACCAAGATGGTTGTAATGGCGCGTGTATCGTGTCCGCTCAGGTGGGTTTGTAACACACTTAATTCATAAAGACGGTATATAATAACAAATTGTGTAACATCACGGCTTGAAGATGTACGAAATAGATGTAAAAAAGTTATGATCAGTGACAGATAATTAGTTACATCCAGGGGTAAGCAGGAAAGTTCAGTTTTACATACACAAAGTCGAGTTCATTCCCGAGAGCATACGAATTGAATTGAACTGGCGAGTACAGCACACGTAGTTAAGTGAAATATCGCGAGCCATTACTGCAGCTGAGAAAATTGCTGCTTGATGCGCTTCTTACGAAGGAGTAAACATCTAGTATTCAAATGTTAATGAGCCGTTCCTTTATAATTCTGCCGATACAACTCTCTGTTCTGTCAGACTTAAGTTATACTTCAGTGGAAAAAAAGCAATGTGATTTCATTTTTTCCCGATTCAAAATATGCTGATTTTTAAGATTTTAAAATGATATAATTAGTCACGTAAAATCAAGGGAAACCTCCCAAATAGGTGAAAGTGGTTAAATTCAACTGTGACATGAATTACGTGTGACTGTAATAATCACAGTGGCGATATAAATTTTGACGGGAAGACTGTAATATTATTTACCTTTACGCTTGTTTTAAATAAACTGAGCCTGAAATCTAGATTAATGGACTTGAACATGAATCCTTGCAGTATCCGTACGACCTTCTAGCTACGTTGAACAACAGAAGCTCTATCAGTGACGTTGTTTACGTCAAACTCTTCAACCCAGAGAATGCAGCCAACTTGCCAGTTAGTGATCTTTCTGATGCTGTCAGATTCAGGATTCCACTGCATAGATACAGCAAGTCTGATGACACAGTCCCTGTGGTCAGTTAATTATTTTGTAACAAGACGCTAGAATTACATAAGCCTGCGAGCTGTTTCTTTGTAAAGCGTGTCTAATTCCTAACCCTAAGAAACACTTATCTCGACTTTAATACCATTTTTAACTCGTATGAACACTTACCTCGACCCTTAAGACCATTTTTAACTCGTGCGAATATTTCTCTCGACCTTAAAACCACTTTTAATTCATATGTACACTTATCTCGACCTTTAGACCATTTGTAACTCATATGAACACTTATCTCGACCTTAAGACCATTTTTGACTCGTATGAACACTTATCTCGACCTTAAGACCGTTTTTAACTCATATGAACACTTATCTCGACCTTAAGACCGTTTTTAACTCGTATGAACACTTACCTCGACCTTAAGTCCGTTTTCACCTGCATGAACACTTATGTCGACCTCAAGACAATTTTTAACTTCTATGAACACTTATCTCGACCCTAGTGCCACGTTTGGGACCCCTTAAGTTCGTTGTGGACCACAGAGGACATAATTACTGGCGCAACATCCCAAATTGGAAACGGAGGAGTATCAGTTGAATGTCAATATCAAAAGCTTGGATTCATCACTATTTTTGCTGTCAACTCTTCAATTCAATCAGCGCAGACTTCCACCTCTCAACCTCTCACAGTGTCCTCTCGACATCTCAACACCGAACAACTGGTTTACATACAGTTTAAGTTTGTTGCCAATTTTGAAGAAATCATTCCCAATGAAGAGAAGAAAAAAGAATTTATAATAGATTTTACGCAAAAAATAGCCGATGCTATGTCAATCAACAAATTTAGAATTGCAGATGTCGTTGTTCAGCCAGGAAGCATTCTCGTCTCTTTCACCCTGTTACCGGGAGGTCCTGGGGAGATAAGTGTTTCCATGGCTATGACAGAACTAAAGGATCAGGTAATGGGTGGCACTTTCTCTTTCATTCTGGCTGATGAAAGGAAGCTGGTGGCAGATTCTACGTCTTTCCTGACGTCTTCAACTGGGTGGCCCTCGACAGCATCAACACCTCAATACATCAGACCTACAACAACACGTGATGAACTAATCGAGACTTCAAGGGGTCTCAGCACCAGCACTCTGGTCGGCATCATCGTGGGCTCTGTGGTTGGCGTGGTTTTCGTTATTGTTGGTGTGATTGTGATCAGATTTAGAAATAGCAAAGGCAAAGTTGTGGAAGATATTTCTAATTCTCAGCTAAAATTGACGATCTCGCCTCGAAACTCAATTGGTAATGAAATTTGTAGTTACTGTTAGTTTTTGATGAGTGCTGAATCCAAGCGTAATACCTAACACTAAGAAAAACATTGTAAAACATTTCTATTTTCTCAAAAACTTTTTGAAAATCATAGCTTCAGACAACTTGAGATCGAAAAAGGTCGGAGTATACCTATATGCGATATTAAGTGATCTTCTTTGTCTCATTCATAGGCCACGATAATAGAGGGATAAAGCAAGAAAATTCACAAGGTAAACTTTTAAATCACGGCACTTTGAAATACTGGAAAGTAAGCCAAAATGTTTAAATTTTCTCAATGTAAAGGCTAAAATTTCATTCCTTCTTTCTGGCAGATTACGAACAGAGTAATCAGTTTCCCATGATGGAATTTACAGAGGAAGGTAAGGAACGTAACTAATTCTCATCTGAAAGGCAATTTTTTTGCGCTTGGTTTGAAGTAAGGGTGTTTCTCTCTTAGATTACTGGAAAAGAAGGAAGAAAAAATTCAACAATGCATATGAAATTTAAAATTAAACTTGTCAAAATTGTATTTGCACGTTCGTCTTTTTCAGTCGATTTGCCAGGGACGCCATATCACCCTGACCATTGCTGAAGACTTGCACTAAAGCCACAGGTGACGTGGATGCCGCAGTGTCCGTGCGCAGCTGTTATCTCAAGCTCTCAATATGAACCTTTTTTTGCACATTAATTATCCAACATAGTTGCATATCTAGTCCAACAGTATTATTAATCACCATTCTGGGCTCGTTACCAGATTTTGTGGCTGAACTGCCAGGTTTTTCTCGCATGTCTATGATCAGGAATTTCGTTGTAAATCTGATTTTTTTTCAACTAATCTTAGCCCAATATCCAACATGGTTAGTTCGCCAAGTCAGTAGAGGAATCGTAGATACGAACAAGTTAAGATGACGTAAGATGAACTCCGGCCAATATCCCAAATAGGTCGATCCCGTTTGTTACCTGGTCTGATCTGTTTTCGATGTTTTGAAGTCTACAGTAGTATCATGCTATTATGCAAACAGTTGCCCTTTTGTGAATTGAATTCCTTACTTGTGATAACTTTAAAGAGAACATAAGGTAAATCAGAAAAACTGATCAACACAAAACGACGATGACACCAATAGCGTGAAGATCGCACAAGATGAACCATAAGAGTGTTACTCCACTATCATTTATACCACTTTCGTTTGTTGTGGATGTCAAATTTCACTGTATAAAGGTAAAAAGATTATGGGGTAACACTTAATCCATTTATGTCATCATTTTCTCCATGGCCATAAGGTAATTGAATCTGAACTTTTTAGTACATACATGTAGCGTTATTCCTGTAGCCCCCCAGCACTGCATATATTTGTCAGCTTTTGTGGCTCATAACTGAGACACCCTCCTTACGTAAATTTCCTACTGCGTTATAGTCAAGCCCAAAGCTTGGAGGTAAGTAACCCCATAACCTCTTAGGCTTCTATGACTATGAACCTTTTTTTGTATTTAACCGAGAATAAAATTGATAAAACTCAAAATGAAGCGAATTTCTTTCTTATTAAATATTGGAGCAAGAAATAAAAGATATTGGTGCTAGAAGTTAGTCAGCCTGACTGCATTTCCCGTTGCAGCTATGTGTGCCCAGTAAAACACTTTTGGAAGCATCTCTGCTATAAAAATGTATAGTCATGTTACACTTTCTCCTTTCAAAGTTTGCATTATCTCTCTTAGCATCAATCGCAACACTTTTTTCACCACACTTTTTCATTACCAGGTTATCGAAATTCAATCAAAAATTACGATTCTCGATCTGTTCAAATCTCGAATAACCCAACGGGGTAAGACTATTGTTTTGGTTGAATCAATGAATACTACCAAACCTTTAACATAACCTTTCTCACGTGAGCTGGAATCTGAAATTACAGATTTGTTTATGCGTGCATTAAATTTCGATGATTTCTTAAATCATGGAGTAACGTGCAAAAATACGACATCGAAACATTTAAACATCAAATCTGGCTTTATTTATGTCTAGTTCCATTTAAATTTATCATATATGGCCCTTAAAAAAAGCACTCGTATAAAAACGGTATAATTTACATGTGGTACGACTGTTTAAGTGTTTGGACAACTAATGTTTGCAGAAAACTTTCTTGAAAATACTTCCTACTTCATCATGAAACCAAAACTAAACTTATTTCGAAACACGCCGTTGATTTCAAGTAGTCTTACCTTATTTTATCTTACTTCTTGTTTTATGTCATTATATTTAATTTGTTGTGAGCAAAATGGAGGAAAGTTTGAAATCTACATAGACATGTAAACAATGTAAATATCAGTGGATCTTGTGGGAATAAAAAGGGGGTTCGACTTAATATAAGTCGTGATCTCTTCAACATTTTAATACATGCATCAACAAAGAAAAAATGAAACAAACGATAATCAGTGGATGATAGGACAAATTGTTTCGTTTACAAAACTTTCGCTTCAATGCGGTAAAATTTTTTTCAGCTTGAAAAAAACTGTAAAATTTTGTATCCATGAGTCTAAAAACTGGAATGAGCATGGAAGTACTTTGGCATACTTTCTATTTAATACTATTTCGAAGAATCGAGCAACGAACTTGCGATGCAAATCTTGAACAAGGAATACTGCTCGAGATAATAACAATACTCATTGTAACCATTTTTATACAAAAATAAGGGCTAGCCTATCCTTATCATTTAAGTCTTACGATCTGTTGTTTCCCTTTGGCTAGTAAGATCTTTTGAGGGAAGCTTTCCTAAAAGTGTTGAAGACCTGTGTTTAAAACCTTCCCATCATCTTAAAATAATCCTGAGAATTAGAATGAGCCTGAGGATTAAACTCCGTCATGTTCCCGTCAGATACAGAGCGTGGAAACTGCTCTTTATTCTCAATGATCTCAGGTTCGACCATGATTGGCTCTTGTGGCTCTATTGTTGTTGGTGCAAACAGAGAGGAAGGGGTAGATACATCACGAGACCCATATTGGTTCTCCCCTTCTGACTCGTACCCTTGGTTGTGGTCACCAAGCGCATGTTGGTCGCCTGCCTCTGTGTCTTCATCATCACAAATAAGTTTTGGAGTAAAATCCGCTGGCCCGACCGGCTCCTGGCTGGGTTCAAGCATTCCAGGTAGGTATGAGGTTCGGGCCCAGTCATAGCTGGCCAAGGCGCGTTCGTTCACTTTGGGGGGCTTTTTATATCCCATATCAAATTTGGAAAGCTCCTTTGCTTCTGCTTCTGTGGATGAGTGATCTAATTTGAGTTAAGGTTGCAGGTAAACTTGATGAATCTTCCTCATGATATTATCATTTTCAGCTTAGATTTTGGACAAGGAACTCACTGTTTTGAGAAATTCTAAATTTGAAAAAGTCTCGGTGAAACCTTTTATGAGTTAACGGATTCCATGAAATTAAAAATGAACAGGGTTACTTCCTTCAAAAACCTTTGAAGTAGAGTTTGGAGGAGAAGTCTAATTGGATAATGAACAATTTACCCAGTTTCATTTAACAATAGGACCATTTTGGAAAAGGTCAAATAAAACTACTTGTTTAGTCAATACAAGAAGATATTTATGATACCTTTAGCACGCCGTTTCATCTCTCTCTGCTCCTGCTTTCTTTTCTTCCTTTCCAGGTCTTTCATCGGCGTGCTGTTTACCCCGGTGAATTTGTTTCGTTTAAGCCACCAGGAGTGAATGGCACACATGCAGCACACAAAAACAACAAAGCAAGCAAATCCCACTGCTAAGCTAATTATGATTGGCTTGTAGTTAGTTTCCAATGGGTGATAAGTCGTTGGGGCATATGTGGTTGACACGTGACTGATGTCAGGTGCAACACTGGTGCTTGCAACCACTAACAGACTGGCTGTTGATGCTGAAGTGAAAAGCGTACACTACTTAGGCTTTCACTTTTGTGATGAAATATATACTTTGCGGCGAATTAAAATAAACTATTCTCGGTGATAATGTTTCCTTTTGCAATATACAACTCTCTTCAGAAATATTTTACATCGTTTCCATAAACACTGATAAAAATTAGATTTCGGCCTGCTTCTAAGAGGCATTGAAAAGCCAGTCCTTAGGCAAATTTTGACGTGGCGTATGCCAAAAACATGTCATAATTGTTACTGCCGCAGTAAAGGGATAATTGTCTCATCCTCTCTTGTCTGAGTATGATTATAATCTCCAACAGTGAAAGCATTAAGTCACTGCCCAGCCCCTTACAAAGCTGGACCGACTTATTCAAATATTTTGTAAGAATAGCTCTTCCCTTATGAAATTATCCCTGTAGTCTCCCTTTCTTAACTTAATTTGCAAAAATGAATTACCCATAATTTCTCTCTCTGGTCATCTAATATCTGGGAAACATTTTTTCTTTGCCGGGTTGCGTAATAAGCCCCTTTTGTACAAATTAAACATCTTTAAAATTAACAAAAAATGATCGTCTAGAAAGGCTTATGCACGTGTTTATGTAGGCTTATGCACGTGTTTATGTAGGCTTATGCACGTGTTTATGTAGAAGTGATGATAAGAAGTAAAAATTGAAGACCTCAAGCAATTCATCTCGAGAATTAAGCCATTATAGAAGTGGCATGCAATTGGATGGAGGAAAGAAAAGTTAATGTTGAATCAAGTAAAGTGATCCCTTATGCTACCATTACTTCATGTCCCTCGATACATCATACCGAGATATATCACCTTATACATCTTAGGATATTTTTATTTTAACTCACCGATAGACACAGTTGCTGAACTGTGTTCTGTGGTCGAAGTTGTATGGGCTGACAAGGTGGAAAAAAAAGCAGTTACATGTAAGTTTTGCTACGTACGCTGAATGCTAAGTCTTTAGCAATAATTCATTCACAGGAACAAATCTAAATTGCCTATAATCAATTCAGCATCAATGGTTAGATTATTTCGCACTGACTTGAATGCAGATATAGATATGGATATACTGACACAAAGGTGATAGGAAACTCCACAGTGACAGTGCTCAGAACAATGCGTATAGGACAGTACTTATAGGACGATACTTTGACTGATTTGTTTTCTCTATTCGTTAACCGTTCGAGTGTGGACAAGAGAGCTATTGAGGCCCGTCTGGAAAATTATTCTTTAAGAACTGATGATGAACCTCACCTGGAACACAGCTTATGGTTTTCCAACACAGTGTCTCGTTGTAATGATCTTGAGTGAGACACGTTTTGTTATGCGGGCAATAGGTTTGATTTTGTCCTGTGCAGTTACATTCTGTTAAATTATCGACACATCTCAGCACCTCGGGCAAACTGCAATTAAACTAATTGAAAAAGAGTAATGTTTGGCTAAATTTATTTCTCTAACATTCAGCTCGACATCAGTAAGAAAGTCTTTCTGAAGCTGGTGGGGGGCTGACGGCTGGCGGCTTAAAAACACGGCTCCCGGACTATCGGCTTCAATCATTTATTACATGCTTGACAATTCGACACTCTCACTTGGCGTAAGAGCGAGAGCTGCAGCAATATATCGATTAAAAGGATTACCAAAGCTCCTGTCTACTGTTTGCGGATTTACATCAGTATTTGCTGCTGTTGAAACCTTTAATGGAAGAGTTGGAAATGCTTAGCTAATTATTGATTTCTTGACTTAATTAATTGGCGACAGTCGAGATTTTCAATTTTGGATGATTGAAAGTTAACCCCATGGAGACCCAACTACAAAAACATCTTACTTGCCTATCGAGTCACTGCGACGCGAGCAAAGCGCCGAACTTTTAATCCTAGTTTTCCGCTGAGTAACCTATTTTGAAATTGTAAAATCGATTCTAAATCCCGGAAGTGTTCAAAGAAATTGTTAGCTTTGTAAGGAACCAATCTATCATTGAAAAAAAAATTCAATTTCGGTCTGTGTTGTATTTTAGGCCAGTGCTCTCTCGCTGAGGACATGCATATCACGAAACTTAAGGATTAAGTGAGAGAGCAGGAAATGGGAGCAAGATATTAATTTGCGTGTTTGATCGAAGGGCGAATTCGAAGCCTTTGTGGACATTTTGTAAAATGTCTCAAGGAACAGATTTTGTGTCGTTAAACGCACAATATCGATCTTCTGGAATATTTTAGAAATCGCTTCAGGTTTAAATTAGATAATTACATAAACTCATAAGTCTAACCCTATGTCATTCATATAGAGCACACAGACTTTTAAACCAAAATTATTGATTTCAGTGTTTTGTTGTTGAATTTTAAATGACAAGTTGTTGCTTGGATACTACTGTAAACCATTTACGACTTCCGTGAGGTGTCAAAAATATGCTCTTCCTTGGATAAAAATCCCGACAAGGAAATTATTCATCAAAAATGTTAGAAACTAAGCCATGTCGTCTTGAAGCGCTCTCTAAATTCATTGCCTAAAAAGGTATAACATTAGTTAACAACATTTTCACGTGAATCAACCAGCTTTCGAAAAATGACAGTTACTTTTCATAAGACTTTTGTACTGCTATTTCGTGGAAAATAGGGAATTCTCTCCCGTTCTTCCTCTGTGAACTGAAAAGCATAATTTAGATTTCAATTTTTAGGAATGCATGATTCTTGTATGATGTCGCAAAAATTCCGGGTTGTATTAATTGTACATAATAAAAACACATCGATAGCGTGTGATTATATTTCAATGATGCTTTTAAAACCAGGAGGCCTACAAACGGAGAAGACCATGAATAACATTTACTTCTCCTGTCAAACCTAAACAACTATTGTGTTCTACCAAGAGAAACTAAAGGCACGTTATTGGTTGTACGGAATGATTCAGCATAATACGACCAAACGCTATTTATATTCCATTTTGTCGCGTTAAAATTTCCGCGCGAGATTCTCTTCAAAAAAACAACATATACAAACTTACTAGCTAGCTCATTTAAAATATGTTTGTATAAATATCTGTGGTGTTGCTTTACCTTTTGGCTGCTAGCGGTGGAAACATCAACTGAGAAAAATAGACAGATATCAGTTTTAAATCATCAGGTGTAGAATTTAGTAAAAATTTAAATTCGCAATCATCAGCATTAATGTAAATGAAACCATCTAAATTTTTCGGGCTCCATTTGGCCAAATGCAAATCTTATCGAGGGAACGAATTGTAAATGTTCTGGGGTACTATTTTCAACTTCACAATAAAGCCGAACTGACCGTGTTAAAGATTCATTATTTTCAGCAGTATTGCAGAGTGACTATAACATTTTTCTTCATAGGAGTTTACCTGATATTATGGCTGCGATTAAGAGCGAACAACCGATCCCCAGAACCAACATTTTGGAGAAGATTTTGATAGTATTTGCCAGTATGGCTTTGAGCTCGAATGATATTTTTCAAGCGAATGCTGTGAGAATTACATGTCATCCTGCTCATTCAATATTAATGATATTTTCTTAATAAAACCAAGTTACCTGAATTACCCCGACACATGCCGTGCTAAAAGCTGTAAACAAGCTCAAACACTAACCCCAATAATAATCTCAAAATGCGAAAATTTTTCATAAGGATTGTCAATGATTAAATTTTTATGGTTGTGGGATCGAGATATGAGAAGGAAGAGATGTTGTTTGCTATGGCTGTTAGAACTTAATGTTCTATGGGCAATATTAAAATAGTGGGCGGCCTCTTTCAATTTAAATACTTGTCGCTCACACCGTTTTATATGGCTCAGTGGATTTTAGGTGAGCATGATTTATATTTTGATCTTTGCACCAGAATGACTCGGACCAGCCTAAATAGCAAAGACAATACAATAATAATGAGCTTCAATTGTCAGCTCGTGTTAACAGAAGATAACTGCATCTTTTCGCTCATTATGGCCTTTATACGTGGATTATGACTTTGTTCATTACAAATGCAAGCTTTTTCTTTCTTGGAAAGGTACTTCGAAAGCAAAGCTTAAAACAAAGACTTCGCCGAGGGAAAAACCCACGGCAATTGCTTGAACACGTTAAAACATCTTGACGTGCTACATAGTTCTTCACATCAATAATTAATTGCACTCGCAATATGCAAAACACACTCAGAAAGTAAGTCATTAATTCTGCGACGATGAAACTTTTAGAAGTTTCCTTTTTGTTTTTATAAAAACAGTTTCAACTTCGTTTTTAGTACATTTCGTGCGTGTTGTAATTTTTCACGCGTTGGATCTCTGCGGCTCGGGCAGTTTTCGTTATTTGTAACAGACGCTCATTTCAACAGAAGCGTCAGCCACACAGCCGCTTGGCATGCGAGCACCACAATTTTTCATTTATTTATTTTTAGAGGGAATCAGCCTCAAAGTATTATTCAGCAATTTTTTGTTGAACTCCTCATCATCAATATTAAATTGTTATTTCTATCCTTGCTTTTATTGAAATTGTTATAATTTTCGTTCTTACTAGTCTTATATAAACATTATCTCATGATCATTGTATCTATGCTTGTCTTAAGTATTAAAATTAATATAAATTAATATTCCAGTTGCAAAGGACCAAGGACCGGCTTGACGATCTCTGCCGGTTGTGCCTAATACAAAACCAATTTCTGGACTATGGTTGTGGCCTCGTTCTTCCTCGCCATCATTAGTTTAAAAATTATCATCTTTTTTGTTATTATTATCAGTGTTATTAATCATCATTAAGGAAATACTTCTTTTTCTGCTAATGTGTACTTTTCAGCTGGATTTCCTGTTCTACTTCCCTGCAATCATACTCCAAGAACCTTTCTGAGGATATTTACCATTTTTTTTTATGTTCTAACTATGTCAGGAACCCTACATGACCCCCCCCCCCCCTCCCCAACAAAAGTGCTTGCCATAACACCAGGCCTGATCACTTTCACACTACATTTACTCCCATACACCATTTTTTACTACATAATGAACACCTCTCCTTATAATAATATTGGTAATGTTCTCTATGTATTATTATTATTTCCTAGATAGTTTTACGGGGGTACTTTTACCTCGTTACAGTTCGATCCTTCTTGAAAGGGGAATAAAACTGGTAACAACTTGCATTTGATCGTATACTCTTATTACTTGTAATAGGAAAAAAACTGGGCTCACAAGCAGCGTATATAAAGACAAGTCCGACAGATATTTTAACTTATACGGACGAGAGCCTGGTAAAGCCCAGCGGACAGTAAGAACGAAAAGGAACTTTCTAATGTGAAATGTTCCGTTGTTTTTTTTTTCTCTCCGGTCTAATTTCTCTTCAATCATCTGGTTTGCACTTTAAAAGCCTTTTAAAACTATTTCTAAAGTTTTCGTTTCTCCAGCAGTAGATCATGGGATTCCAACAAGCATTCAAACTGGCCACTAATTACACTGGGTACATGTGTTCCTTTCCAATCGATGTTGAACTCAGGAATTTGAGGCACAAGACAACAACCAGCGGAATGAAACTGACGAGACATGTCCCCACAATAATGGCCACTGTATAAGCACCTTTCATTTCGTGTGATCTTCTGGTCAGCTTTCCATGGATCTCTTCATTGATCTGTCGTCGCTGTTTCCAAGCGATTTTGAATATGTAACTGTATGATGCAATGATAATCATAATGGGCACGAGTAACGTTGATGTCACCAGAAAAAACAGGTACGTCTTAACAGAGTTCTCAATGCGAGAACGAGAGAATTGACGTGAGCACGGTGTCAAGCCAGCGTGGTAACCTCCAAACACTTTATCAGTCGCCTTGAATGCCTCGGGAAAGGCATTTACGGCACAAACTCCCCATAGCCAAGCCACCGTGGAAGCAATCACTGTTCGGCGGTTTGTCACTATTGTGTGATATGTCATAGCGAACTTAACGGCGATGAAACGTTCAACGCTGATTAAAGTCAAGTGTAGAATGACGATGCCGATAAGAGTAAGGTTGATTATCGATGCTGGAGCACACAGTTGGTGAGGAGGTACCTTCTTACCGACCAAAATGGTAGCAATGTTTAATACGAAGGGCACCGACATTGAAATGCCAGCCACTGACAAACTCACCACTATAACATTAGCTGCATTTCGCAAGTTTGAAAATTTATAAAACGCCCTGATCACCATCGTATTGCCAAAGATTGAGACAATTGTGATGGTAACGAAGATTGTAACAACCAAGGCCTTCATCTCAGTCGGCAGACTTTTCTCGTTTTCCGGAGGAGGAGAAGACGAGTGAAATGCCATTTCGCGGAATGAACGTTTGTAGACGAGGGCTGGTAGAAGGTAAAATATCAGTCGTCTGACTCATTGATAACGACCTTTAAGCCGCGAGTTGTAATCGAAACTTCAGAAATAGAGAGAAAATTTCATATTAGATGGGGCTGTGACGTGTAAGCTTAGAGACGTCATTACAGTGTTTATACTTTCAAAACAGGAAATTATGATGATAATTATCAAAGATAATTATCAAAGATAATTATGAAAATAACGCAAGGTACAACCACTTTGAATCGACCTACAGGATTCCTTTTCCTTTCTCTTCTCTTCTTCTAGAAGTAGAAGTAAGAAGAAAGTGTCATCCAGCCTGCTATGTATGTCAGGCCGGCTATGTATGTCAGGGCAGTCAGTTTATTGATCATGCGAAGACTGAATAAAGAAAATTACAAATTCGCGTCATCTGTAACATTTACTTTTCACTTTGTGAAAACTTTCAGTTTTCTGGTTCATGAGGTTCCTAAAATATAATTTTCTTCCGTGATTTTCATAACTTTTATATTTCACAAAATAAAAAATTTTCACGCTCATCGAAGAAGAAACAGCTGCAGCAGCTATGAAGAGCCGGCTGATTAGCAGCCTTTTTAAGGAAAGTATGTAAACTCCATAAACGTTCATCCAGTTTCATAGATAAATTAATACCCTAAAACAAAACAAAATAATTAGTGTTTTTCTTGGCAATGGTGGACCTGTCTACTTGAATTTTAATTTTAGAAACTAAGTTGAAACAGCTGCTCTGCGAATTGTCATGTTGGAAAAGCAATTAATTTTCAGTTTGAAAGATGTTGTTTTTTCTTATTTTGGGAAAATTTTTCAATTGATAGCGAACTAACTTCTCTAAAGTGGCCGTGCATTCATTTTATAAAATTTTTTATCTTCATTCAATGTTGGCGTCATGTGATGGTCAAACCGTATGCAGGTTATTGAATGCACTGATAGTATGATAGAATACTATCAAAACACATCAAGTTTTTATCAGAAGGTTCCTGACTTTAAAAAAGGAAATGGGAAGCGAAAGTCGGAAACGTGTAAAGAAGGTCTTAATGGGGTTAACAGTTAGCCGCACAACTGCCAAAAAATTTGGCCGTAACAATTGGCAAATTTTAACCGTTAGTTGTAAAAAAAGTTAACAGTAAACAATTTCCTGGTGGCAACAATGCGAAGATATCATCCGTTAGTCGTAAATTAGCCAAAATTCTAACCGTTAGCGGTAAAAGCCATCACCCCATTGAGACCCTCCGCAAAAATTGTCTGGAGTATTGACAATTTATAGATTATTTGAAAATTCACGATTTTTACTCCTTTATTTCGTAGCAGATAGAGGTATACTAAAAGCCTACAGCGAATAGGACCCCTTTACGTGAGCAGGTGGTGATCTCAAATAGAACATAACTCTAAAAGCATGCAAATGAGCTGCCTCTGTTAAAATTGCTTTTGCATGGTATCGTTTGTTAGCTTGTTTAACTTTCTGTTTATTTTGATGGAGGCTTAGATATCGTTGGGGGAGTTTACAAAGAATTAATAAGACTCGCTCTGAGGGTCCGTCCGTCTAAATAACCGTTGATTTTTGCGAACGTGCTTCAGTAAAAATAAACGATGAGCATGTGTTTATTCGCCTTCATCAATTGAGCACAAATTTTATATGATAATTTAAACTTCACGAAAACATAAAAGAAACAGATATCAGCCATCCGTCCCTTTCGTGTTTGAATCCATGCAACATTTAAAACAACTGTCAGCAGAGACAACCAATATCTTATAATTCTCTATAGCAGTCAACCCTTTTTCATTGATCTTCTTTCTATCGAATTCTGGTTGAAATTGGAAATTGGCAAAGGTTTACTTGTTTGTGGGACGAAAATTTTAATATGTCGTAACTGTACCACCCCATCTCCTTCTCCTTTAAACTCCATAGTAATCAATATACCTCAAATCCTAAAAGATATCAATCTCATTTTGATTTGTTCCCAACATCCTTGGTTGAAAAGTTCAGTGGCAAAAGTAGGTTGCTTACGCCGCAAGTGAACCGTCCGTGAAGTGCAATGACATCCCCAAAGAAGTTGGGTATTAATAATAGCAGGAGGCATGTAGAATTTATTGTTTCATTAGCGACTTCATGGCTTCAGTCAGATATATACTCTGTATCGTTATATCTTCACCAAGAGTGTGGCGAAATAAATTATTAATTTCGGTTTTCCGCTGTTAAGCTAAAAAGTTACCCATGACGCATTCCAATTTAGTAACATGTTAGGCAACGTTTACTTATGGCTCACTATTGCACATTAGGTGAACCTCACACATTTTTAACAGCCTGTGGCTGCAAAACGTGGCAACCAACACACAATCAATGGATGCAATATACTGAGTCGAAGAAAACACGTCTAGAATGTCAGTAGTTCATTTTCTCAATCGATTGTCAATGCAGTTTGCGAAGCATACCTTGCCAATTTCCATCAATTCAGTGTAGAATTCCGTTTTTTCATCCATCATAATTTAACTGGTACGCCAACAGGAACATGATTTATTTAGACGCAAGCGAGTCCTTCAGCGCATACTACTTACTACAAAAACGTGAATTCTACAAGCTAAGCACGAAGACTTCACTGCGCTTTAAACTAAGATTATCAGAACACAATCCAGTTGGTCTTTACAATTTGCTAAATGTAATACATTCAGGCTCTCTCACATCAATAAAGTTCGCACATGCTCTTGTTAATGCGTTGTACAAAGAACATTGGTCAAAAATTAGTCTCTTAAACGTAGCAATAATCCTTGGTCTGAATAAAACCAGGAAATGTCTGTTACAAACGCTTATCCCTGTCTTTGGGCAAAGCACACGGAAAAACGAATCGAACGATTGTTAAGCACATCTCAGGATTGCAAGGAAAGCGCTTCTAAAATTTGAATTTCTCCAGCCGTAAATTATTGGGTTTAGGCAGGCGTTAAACCCGAGTGCGAAGACAAAAACCAGGTGTTTCATAACTCTTCTCCAGTTGGTTTTGTGATAAGACTCGCCACGGAAACGTAAACTGGTTACGACTAACAACGGGACAAAACTGACGAGGCACCCTCCCACCACAATAGCCACAGTGCGAGCGCCTTTCATTTCTTCCTTAGTGGTGGCAGCTCCTTGAATATTTACTTGATCTTTGATTTCCCGCCTGTGTTTACGAGAAATGAGGAAGATGTATCCGTAGGAGCATAGTATGACCAGTATTGGTATCACAAGAACCGACGTCACCCAGAAGATGAGATATCCCATGGCTGTATGAGGCATTGGTTTCCCCTTTTCTAGAGAGCATGTAGAACATGGATGCAGAGCGTGGTAAAGCCCTTTAAAAATATTGCCGTCTTCTGTGCGGAGCGTGTGTGGTAATATAACTGTAACAGCAAGAGCCCACAGCCACACAGCGAAGGAGGCGAGCACTGTGCGGCGGGTTGTTACAATGCTTTGATATCTCAATGCGAACTTCACGGCGATGAAGCGTTCGACGCTGATAAGAGTGAGATGCAGGATAATAACTGATATGAGTAAAATGGTCAAACCTGCACTAACTGTACACACGAGACCATTTGTTTTAAGAGCCAAGAAGGAGATATCCAAGGTAAAAACAACCACTGTTAAACTGTCGGCTGCACTCAAACTCATTAGAATGCTGTTAGACGCAGTTCTGAGGCTTGGAAATTTGTGAAAAGCTTTAAACAGAAGCGAGTTGCCAATGGCGATAGCGATTATAAGGATCACAAGGATAACAGTAACTGTTGTTTTTATGTTATCGTCTGGTGGCTCCTCATCTGGTGTTGTTGGCCCACAACTGGTCCAATTCATCATCACTGCATGTGTTTATTTCTTTTTTCAACTCTGAAGAAGCTCTTCATTTTACGTCAGATTTTTTTTAATACTGCCTTTTTAAAACCGGACCGAGCGCAAGTGATCCTTGTAAAAGACAATCTACTAATTGACGGCACCGGTAACGTCCGTTCGAGAATAGTCAACTAAAAACAGCTGAATGACCTCGTTCAAATTATTCTTAGAAGGAAATTTGAGTTGACCAATATGTCAACAAATTTATGCAAATTGGAAAAATATTAAATCGAACTAATTTATTCAGTTTAAAACATTTGAAGGAAATCATTTTTTGGGGTTTTTTCTTTAGCTTTCATTTCTCTGTGGGAGAGTACTGTTGCAAGTGATCATTAACATAAAAATTAAAGGAAAATATGATTGCATAACTTCTTGTTCCTCGTTCGCTAACACCGGCGGGCTGGATTATTTTTCTATCGTCGTTTCTATTTACCTTTCTCAGAGATACGAGCGAGCGGGTTTAAAAACAAAGGGACAAAAAGAAATTGATGGATATATGAATGAATCGATAAATTTGTTTTTAAAAAAAGTGCGTATATGTTTCCTCACACCTTAATGAGTGCTCTACTTTGGTGGAGCAATGAAAACTATAGTCGCAAAGGAAATATTTCTTATACAGACTCTATAGATCGGTCTAGAGAGGTTCGATACTTCATTCCGACTTGCAAAAAAAAAAAAAAACAGCTTAAATAATTATTATAAATGAAGGTATAGTTGATTCTATGATAAGGATTATTCAGAAATGTCATCATGTACAGTTTTGCTCGACCGAACAGTGGCGCTTCACTGAAAATATTGGGTTGAACATAGGTGGACCTGCACGAAACGACAGGAAACGTAAACACTGAAATAAGAATGAAGAATCTGTCCAGTCAGGCTTAATGATAATTTCAAGGTCTACAGTTTACATGTCAAGATTCTTTTCTAGTACCACGGTCCATAAAGACTGCGCTTGGTAAATCTTTTGCTGGGATGATTATCACTGCCAATATCTGCTTTGTGCTAAAGTAGTAGTTAAGAACGAAAAAACTAATCAACAATGGTGAAAAGTTCGGTGCAGAATGAAGAGTAAAGAACAAACAAATTTGTATGATTTGTTTACAATTAACAAGCTCACTCAACCTTAAAGGTTGTTATAGATCATAGATCATAGATCATAGTTATCATAGATCCTCTAAAGGTGACAAGTGGTACGTATACCCTTTTACTTCTTTTGTATCACTGCCACTCTTCTCCTTCAATGTTTGTCTTTAAATATGAAACAAAGGATTCAAATAGTGCAATTTTCCACCTTTAGATTCACTTTTGCCCGACAAGTCAAGATTAGTCGCAATAACACTATTCTAATTAAATTTTCATCTTACTTTCGTCTAATAACTTTCGCTTGCATGTCAGGTGACTGAATTTACATTCTGCAGTTTAAGAAGAACTTAAATATTCTTTTTAAAGCATCTTTGAGTTTAAAGTCGGATCAGTCTTTGTAAAAGTTAATTTAAAATTCGATACGCAAAAAGTCGGGAAGGCAACTGAACCATTTGGTAACTTCATTTTGTTATTTATTTTAGTATAAAGAGGCTAAGCAAACAAAAACTTGTTCCATAACTTTGATTCCACATCATGAAAAGCAATTACTGTTTCAGTTTAGTTGGAACAGAGACAACTGAGCTATCTCCTACTGCAGTTTGCCTTTTCTTTTGCTTTTACGCTCTGAAAAAGGGCTGAGAAGGCATGTGTGTCTCAAATGCATGTTATGATTTCATAAACATCTTAGAGGTTAATTCTAAGTGCTTTAAAAGTGCAGGAACAACAACAAAATCAAACGAAAGCCAACCCTACTTACTTTGGACTGAATCCTATTTTTCCGGATCCATTTACAGCTGTAACTTGTTTTCGCAGACCTGCAAATATCCGTCTTGAAATATCTTCACAAATAGCAATTAGCCAACTTTACAAACTGAAAGGGAAGTGAACGGGGCCAACAATATAAGTATGAAAGTGAACAGAATGTTAAGATTTGTAATTCTATAATGAAGGCAACACGAAGCATATCATTTTTATTTAACTTCCACTGCCACCCACCTATCTTATTTAACTAGAATAAAATCGCACTGAGCGTTTTACGGCAGCTTTTTCCTCTGTTGCTTAATTACAAAGATATCTCTTGGCGCCAAGCATATGTGCTATTACTGTGTCAATTAAAACTATGCGAAATAGGAAAGTCACGTTTTCGGCAGATTATGTTATTTTATCATTCCATTGTCGAGCCGAGCAATTGGAAATTGAACGGAAAATCTCAAGTTTATTTCATTTTAAGCTCTTCTAGGCAGTACTAAAACAGCCGTTCTCGTTTTAGTATTCAACTCGTTTAGCCTCTTTTTGATGAATTTAAGAGTATCACCATTAATACTGGCTACGTTTTAAAGTTACAGAGAAACCGCTTGAATTTGAAATTATGACAACTTCATGTTAAAAAAAGAAAAGGGTTATTACACCTTAATTCGAGTACTCACGAAACACGAGCGACTTTCTCGAAAAGAAATATTTTCCTAAATTGAAAGAAAATTGCAACCCATATCAGTAAGTGCAAGCTTTGGAGTGTTATGGCGAAATGCATGGTGCAAAACTGTGGCAGTGCGGCTGAAAAGGTCTGTAGGGGATTTTGATAGTTCGTGCAAAATATTCCCAGAATTGTTTTGCTTTGTGCTTCCGAGAAATACATGATCAGTAGGAGAATGAAAATAGGGTATCATGTCAAAGAGTATTTCATATTTGTTGAAGATGAGATTTTTAATAATGATTTAGCTGGTGTTATGCATGAAATCAATTATGTCGCGGATTTATTAGTAATAGATACTAGATCTTGACCGATGAAATTTCCAATTTATATTTCTTTTGCTTAGGGTTTGCTAAGGCTGATTTGACGTTAATTACTTGAAGCACTTTGCGAGAAAAAGATTTAAACTTAGACAGTTGCAGCTGCTTACTTTGTTTTTTAACAATTAAGTTATTTGAGCTTCTCATAAATTTAAACAACTCATTAGAAACCAAGCCAAAATAATCTTAGTCCAAGAAGAGCATTTAAAAGAAGAAAAAACTGATAACTGAAGCAAGAGGATTTTCTTCAGCATAAGAGAAGGACACAAACCAACAGGCAAGTTGCGATTTATTGTTGACTGTAACGTCTAATACAATGACAGTAAAAAGATGAAAAACACCTATGTCTTTAATGTAATGTGTAGGGGTTCGTGATGTCTTATGCTTTCCCTGGGCTATTTCCTTTGGTGATTTTCTGTGCTGTGTTGTGCTGACCATCGCTACAATTTGCTGCTGTGTTTAAATGTTTTTTTCTCTCCCCTCCATTCCCTTTTCTCTCTTTCTTCTTGTTTTGGAACGTTGATGTTGCCATTACTACAGTTCTGTGCTTGTGTTGTTGTTAATCATCTGTTGTGCTGTCTGTCATGTGTTGTTCGTCTATATAGACATCACATGAGACCCTTATCGAATTCTACTGGTCTATACCAGCTTTAACCACCGAAAATCTATTTTTATTTTTTAGATGAAACAAGGAGAGATTCGTTTATTTACAAGCCGTACAGCTTAAACACATCTTCCAAAAAATATTTGTAAGATGCTTGCATTTTTCACTCATTACACAAAAAGTTGACAAAATCTGCAGATAACCAAAAAATCAATGGTTGTATCGTAGTCTTTCGCAACATTCAAAACATCTCACAACTAAGGAGAGATCAGAGCAAAAGTTTCCGCAACTATTTCATGATCGAAGCCTTGTTGTTTCGTCCTGTGAGCAAGGGGCATTTGTTTTTGTTCTCAATATTTTCTAGGTTCAACGCAGATGAGTTAGTATGTCATTTTTCTTCATGGTAATACAGGCATTCTCTCAAGTATGTTTCGGTGAGCAACTTTTCACTTATTCAATCCTTACTTTACTATATTCCTAGGTATCGATACTGTTAAAACATCCACAGAAATGTATACCAGCTAATCTAAAACCACAAATAAAAGGTTTTAATCTAAAAAAGTTAATCAGTCTCTTCCCCCTTCAACAGGAATTCTTAATTCAGACTCTCATCAAATTTATGGCGACAATGGAACAATAACAAGCCCAAACTTTCCAAGATTGTATCCGGATAAATTAAGCATTCTTTGGAACATAACAGCAGTAACAGGAAATCAGATAAAACTCCATTTCACCTCATTTCACCTGCAATTCTCTAAAAGTTGTGACACTGACTTTGTTCAGGTCAACGATGGCCCCTTACCATCCAGCGATGCCATCGTGCGCATGTGTGGTAAGAGAAGATCGGAAAAGATTGTATTTTCAACAGGTCCCCATCTACAGATTTATTTTAACACTGGTGGGAGGAACTCATACCCTGGATTCCGAGTTTCCTACGAAGCTGTTGGTGAGTATTTATCACAAAAAATCTCCCGGCACAAAGCTTTTTCAGTTTTTAGATATGGACGGGAGAAGAATCGAAGAGTTGGGAATGGATTTCTGAGTTGAAAGAAGTAGCTGCAGCCTCTTATGAATAATTTTTCGGTGTTTGAAACTGGGTAGAAGAGGCAATCGAATCATGAAATTGGATCAGATAATTCTCTTCATCTTTCGTCAGCTACGTCTTCATGTCTCATTTTATTGAGTTCATATTGTTTGTAATTTGGTATCAACTGTTCAGGAAATGTCTTAAGGTCCTACCTAATTTTTACAATTTCTAGCTCTCAACCGGAGTTTTGTCAAAGGATTAAAAAGGTGGATGTCGCAACCGTGTCCTGGTAAGTTTTGTAAAACGATGACAACGATGTGGCAAAATCGTGATCGCCCTATCAAGTCACAGAGAAATTCTTTTTTGTTTTCAAAGCAGCACTGGTACTTACTACTAAAACACAGCTTCAAGTTTTATGTTAAGGGAGGACACCGAGGGATAAAAGATGCGAGAAACACG